CTGGTGAACCTGCTACGCTGGGACTGTTGGCCAAATGGCTACGTGATTCAAAATTCCCCATGCCCCCGGTGAGTCATCGCTCGCAGCCATGGAGGGCACACACGCGGACACGCACTGTCTGTTGCGTCCAGTCAGGCTTGGCCAGGGAGTGACTAAATTTAGACTAATTTAATCCGACAGGCGATTACTGCTGGTTAAGTTCAAGGCTTGACAAGCTAAGCCCTGAGTCGCCCGGATGCAAATCGACGGGTGACTTAGGGCTGGCTTGACAAGCCCTGAATCGCCTAAATTCAATTCGACCGACTTAGCCAAGGCTTGGCAAGCCCTGAGTCGCCCGGATGTAAATTCGACGGGCGACTTAGGGCCAAGGCCTGGCAAGCCTTGAATCGCCCGGACTGGCCAATGCCAAGTCTTAGTCTTGACAAGCCCTGAGCCGCCCGGATGGAACTCGACGGGCGGCTTAGTGCTGGCCAAGTCTAAGTCGCGGCAATTGCCTTGAATCGTCCAGACGCAAATCGACAACGCCTTCAACGACTTGGACAACTTGCTGCAAAATTTGAAGCGCCCACCACAAAACACGCACAGTCACGAGGGGTTCAACGATTACCTTAGTTTCAAAATTTGGCAAAATTTGGCAGGGCAGGGCCTGAAACTGCCTGATAAAAGTGCATCAATTCTTTCCATTCCCTCTTTTTAATTTGCTACATGAACTGCATGTCTAACTGCAAATGTTTGACAAGTCCGCCGATGTTTTCCTTTCAAGGCGCTGTCGCGCAGGGTTGCCGATGGTCTCGCCGGGCAAGTTTCTCAGCTGACGATTCCGACATTAATACCAGTCTTTGACCGGTGGATTCCGTAGCGACTAAGCCTAAGCGGTCAGTTTTTGACCGGTGGATTCCGTAGCTAACTAAGCAGTCAATCAATTATTTGTCAATTTCTATTTTGTTCATTGGTAGATAGTAGATGCGTGGGGAGGGTGGACCAAGTATGGTTTCTTTTGGTGGGCCAGATGTTTGTTTGGTGTACTCCAGAAATTTGAAATGGGGTCAAGTTTCACTCCACATGTCATCCTCTTTAAATAAAATTCCCCCAGACTGTCTATTTCATAATGCATTGATTGACCGAAAAACACCGCCGCCAGCTCACCCAACACTCACCAATGCCAACCAGCGGCAGCAGCCCGGCGGCGAGTCGAAAAGCACCGCCGCCAGCTCAGCCAACACTCACCAACCAGCGGCAGCAGCCCGGCGGCGAGTCGCAAGGTCGACTGCCATCTCGCCGCAGAGGTCGGAGTAGGTCACCAACCAGCGGCAGCAGCCCGGCGGCGAGTCGCAAGGTCGACGCTCTTCACCACCTCGCAGAGGTCGGAGTAGGTCCAAATCTTCTGCAGGAGCTGCGACGTGGTGAAGGGCAGCGACCACACCAGGAACCGCAGGTTCATCACCATCAGGGCCACGAAGCGCGAAAACCCGGTCCAAGTGCCGACGATGTTCGTCACCCCGAAAATCGCCTCGATGTAGTCGCCGGCCGTCACCGCATTGGTCAACCACCGCCCGTGCGTGGGCCAAATGAGGCGCAGAGCCAGCGCCAAAGCGGCATTGCCTCAGTCAGGGGGCGACACAAAAAAACTACAATGGAAACAGCCCGAAGCAAGACGCACAACAAACAAGTCAAATGCAACGTATCACAAGCAATGGTGGCAAGGTGCCCGGGTCTTCTGCTTCTGCCCCAGGTCGGCACTGCAGCGTCCCATGGTGGCTCAACCACTTGATGGTGCTGCGCCCCAAATCGGTCCAGCGCTCCATCCAAGAGTCAAGCCAGCCTTGGCGCGGCGCCGCAAAAGACAGCAGCTTGCCCACCCGCGCCAAGTGCGTGTCAATCTCCTCGTCAGAAGCACACCCGCACTGCTTACAGCCCAAATTTCCATGAATGTAGGGGTCAGAAGACCTCCATTGCGCGGGCCGCCAGTTGCGCTTCTGCTGAACGACCGAGCAGCGGGGGCACAACATTGCGGGCGAAGCAAAAAGCGGCCAAAATTGCTGCGGCGGCCGAACTGCATCAAACTGCCAATCAAACGACGAGCGACCGAATATGAACATGTAACCAACTCCTGTCTCGTTGTTTTTTTAAACATCGTTTAAACATCTAAACATCACCTGATTGTTGGAAAACTGTTGAAAGGTAGTAATAGTAAGTGTTCAAGATGCATCAGTATGAAGGTCATGCCAAATTCAATGAGCCTTAAACCGTATTTTGAGCTGCTCCTGCAATGACAACACAAAGCCAACGCGAAAAGTGGCTATATCCAGTATTTATACGTGAGTATGAAGAACATCCATGACAAGGAGGAACTCTGTCAATGTCATTGTCCTTGCGGTTTTGTTTTCACAACTGACCCGCCCGTCTGACAACCACAAACCGACAAAACTAAGCCAACCCCAAGAGCAACCAAAGCAACTGCTATACATCAGCAAGGTGTGGCACACGCATGGTGCAGGTACGCAGAGCTGATCAGGCTCCGTACCCCGCCAAATTGCATAGCTTTGTAAGGCACGGTCTGCAATCTGTCTCAAAAGCAACAAACAGCATCAGGATTGAACTGATGCTCAGCACACACACCGACACACACACACACACACCGAAGGGGCGAAGGGAAAAGAAAAGAGCGAAACAAAGCAAGCCAAAACAAAAGGGGCCCAGGTTGGGTCTCCGCGGGCAAAACCCCAACCAAGAAACAAGAAAGACCGGGAAGCAGGTTTGGGGTCACCGACGGGAAGCCACGTCAGCCACCACGCGAACATGTCGACTCGATTCATGGCTACTCGAAGGATAGATTTCTTCTCCCTCTGGGAGTCATTTAAGTGTGTGTGCAAGTGTGTGTGTGTGTGTGTGGGTGCGTGGGTGCGTGGATGTGCGTGCGCGGGTGTGCGTGCGCGGGTGTGCGTGCACGGGGGCGCGCGTGCGCGCGCGGGGGTGCGCGGGGGTGCGCGGGGGTGCGCGGGGGTGCGCGGGTGTGCGCGGGTGTGCGCGGGTGTGCCGCGTGGTGCTGCGGGCTGGCATCAGCCGTTCCACGCGCCGGCGCGCCGGCGCGGGCGCGGGCGCGGGCGTGCGCGTGCGCGCTAGCCAGTGCACGGAGGTATGAATTACAAAAAAACACGCAGGTACGTTTTCCCTCCAGGATCGGTGTGGTGGCTTCGTTTGTCGACAGAGACCAGCACCGTCCTCTCTGTCTCCCCGCTGTTTGAAAAAAGCCTTTGGTCTCAGGCTGTGGCACACACACTAGGCGCCTGAACAGGTGTAACTTGTTTCGCCTTCGACTCGAGCCGGCAAGAGGGCATAGAACACAGGCATCTTTCACGCTGTGCCACCCAAGGCCTGCCAAACACGCACCAGGTGTGACACCCGCGTGAAGGAAACATGTGAAACATGACACGTCAGCACCTCCACGCACGGCCCCGGCCAGACAGGGCTGTGAGCGACTTAAGCCTTGATCCTTTATGCCTCGATCCAGTCTGACTTGATCCATTACGCCTTGATTCTGACCAGGGAACTCTGGTCATGACGGTTTGCAATGCGCAGCGTGGCCAGGGATGCCAGGGCGTTTTGAGCTTGTTCTCCAAACAGCCTCGTGCGCGTACCCGTGCGTGTGTGTGTGTGTGTGTCACGGGGAGCTTTTCACAGCGTGTTTCCCGGCTGCGTGGTCTCATGAGCCTCTTGCGAGGCCTACTATGTCAACATCAGCCCTGACTCCTTTGACGTGATTCAAATAAGCCTGGATCCACCCAAAGTTCCACGAGACGCTTGATCCATCGTGTGTGTGTGTGTGTGTGTGTGTGTGTGTGTGTGTGTGTGTGTGTGTGTGTGTGTGTGTGTGTGTGTGTGTGTGTGTGTGTGTGTGTGTGTGTGTTGCTGTTTTGTTTTTGTGTGTGGGTGGTGTGTGTGTATATATATATGCGTGTGTGTGTGTGTGTGTCTGTGTGTCTGTGTGTCTGTGTGTCTGTGTGTCTGTGTGTCTGTGTGTCTGTGTGTCTGTGTGTCTGTGTGTCTGTGTGTCTGTGTGTCTGTGTGTCTGTGTGTCTGTGTGTCTGTGTGTCGTGTGTCTGTGTGTCTGTGTGTCTGTGTGTCTGTGTGTCTGTGTGTCTGTGTGTCTGTGTGTCTGTGTGTCTGTGTGCCTGTGTGCCTGTGTGTCTGTGTGTCTGTGTGTCTGTGTGTCTGTGTGTCTGTGTGTCTGTGTGTCTGTGTGTCTGTGTGTCTGTGTGTCTGTGTGTCTGTGTGTCTGTGTGTCTGTGTGTCTGTGTGTGTCTGTGTGTGTCTGTGTCTGTGTCTCTGTGTGTCTGTGTGTCTGTGTGTCTGTGTGTCTGTGTGTCTGTGTGTCTGTGTGTCTGTGTGTCTGTGTGTCTGTGTGTCTGTGTGTCTGTGTGTCTGTGTGTCTGTGTGTCTGTGTGTCTGTGTGTTTGCGTGTGTTTGCGTGTGTTTGCGTGTGTTTGCGTGTGTTTGCGTGTGTTTGCGTGTGTTTGCGTGTTTGCGTGTTTGCGTGTTTGCGTGGTTGGGTGGTTGTGTGGTTGTGTGGTTGTGTGGTTGTGTGGTTGTGTGGTTGTGTGGTTGTGTGATTGTGTGGTTGTGTGGTTGTGTGGTTGTGTGGTTGTGTGGTTGTGTGATTGTGTGGTTGTGTGGTTGTGTGGTTGTGTGGGTGTGAGGGTGTGTGGGTGTGTGGGTGTGTGTGTGTGTGTGTGGGTGGGTGCGTGGGTGCGTGGGTGCGTGGGTGCGTGGGTGCGTGGGTGCGTGGGTGCGTGCGTGCGTGCGTGCGTGCGTGGGTGGGTGGGTGGGTGGGTGGGTGTGTGTGTGTGTGTGCATGATTGAGTATGAATCAACACGGAAACCCGAATGTCTTGGCACAAGCGCGTTTCTGTGTATATGTCTATGCCATGTCTACCAATCCAGGTCACACATCTGATTCACCTCCCAAGCATCAACCTCCACCCTATGGCTTGCCAGGGCACTTTGCCGGGGTCACCCAGCGCCACGAACGAGAAGACAGCAAGGGACATGGGCACCAACAGCTCGAAGAGAAAGGCAGTTGTAGGGGCCACCTCCAGTCGCGAGCGCTGAACATCATTGCACTTGTTGGCAGTCTCATGGACTGCATTCGAGCGTAGCGCGATCAAAGGTGCTGCAAAGAACGAAACATTTGGCTGTGGGTCAAAGCCAATAGTACCATTTTGGGGTAGATGCACCACCCATTTTAGTCTATTTTAGTTGGGATTGGGATGTTCACTGGGGGTACGGGCTTTTGACCCATGGCCATATTGCATGATTCCCTAGAGGAAACAACTGAAAACAAAGCGACATACAATCCCATATTAGAGTATACACTTCCAATAGGATGTCTGGTACCACCAGTTGCTGTGGCTGTCACGGTAATGCCTGAAGGAACCTTTAACAGCAACCAAGACAATCACCCTGCAAGCTGACTGATCCTAGCCACCACAGAACACCACTACAGCAGCAACTCGTGGTCTGCCAGGCAAAGCAACTAGCCAGACCTCATAGCTCATCTGTCTGATGTCCATGATGTACTGGAAAGTCGCTAGCGACACACAAACCTGGCCATTGCTCACGCACACATCCAGAGCACGCCAGCGGGGATACCTGCAAGAGTTGCTCTGGGAACAACCACACAGTTCTTGAGCAAGCTCTGCTTGCCTGTGGCAGCACTGGACATGCAAACCCCCCTTGATGGCTCGCAAGCCACGCAGTCGGATGGTGACAACAGCCCCCAAGTTGCACAGGCACCCTCAGCCTTTGCTGTTTGCTTTTGTTCTGATTCGCCTACGGACCCCCCAAAGTGACCCAACGTGATTGAAGTCCCTTAACCTGCGCGGAACCCAGCAACTCATGCTCTGGCTGGCCAGCCAGAAGGTCGGAAAGATCTTGTGTGCTGCTTTGTCCTGCCAGAGGCTGTTTTGATTGGCCCTTGCAGTTTGTTTTGTTCGGTGATTGCTTTACTATTACCAATTGGGAGTCAGCACTGCCGGCGTCCAAGTTTTGGTGGCTTCACCTTTCGAGCATGAAACAAGCAGCCATAAAGTACGAGTAGTTGGAGCATAGCTCTTTACATGCTTCCTTCGATTGAAACTACAACGTGGCCAACTCGACAAGCCTGCAAAACATAGTGTGCCATCTATGCTCCTACTATCCATGCAGAAGGAATGCTGAAATATGCTTGAAGAGCTGTTCCTCATTGCCACAAAACAACCGGATGGCGCATGGTTCAGCGCGTTATTTGCGTGAAATCCCCCCTCCCGTGAAGAAAAAACAGTATTTGACAAGCAGCAGCCGTTTACATCAAAACGCTACAGCAAGGGCAACCACGAACAGGAAGCAGCAACCAAAACACAACAAACACCCACGCGCCAACAAACACCCACGCGCCAACAAACAACAACCAACCACCTACCAACGAACCCGAACGAGGACAAGACACCCGATATGAGCCACGGTGCCCCAAGAAAACATGGCAAAGTCAGCGACTGCCCTGGTTTCTGTGGGAAAATTCGGAGTTCCTCATGCCCCCCCAAGGACCATAGACAACAAGAACGCAGGAAACAGCCTTCGCAACAACATGGCCACCACGACCATGACCACACCCACGCCCATGCCCACCACCTGCCGCCGCCGCCGCCCACCGCCAACGCCACCGCCACCGCCACCGCCACCGCGACCGCCAACCACAACAACACCAACAGCAGCAACAGCAACTGCATGTGCAAGTGCCACAGCAGCAGCAAGCTCAGCAAAAGCAACACGAAGAAAGTCGTCTGCCCATTGGACTGCTACTCATGTACAAATAAACCAACGGGTCGCAAATTGCAAGCTTTCACCACTCCTGCATGAGGCCTTTGAACATACCGTCCTTCTTGGGCTTGGTCTCCTGGCACAGCGCGGTTGCTTTTCCCGTAGGAAATCATTCAAAGCCCGAGAAGCAACCCTGCTGAAATTACGGCACAGCATGTGGCTTTCATTCATGTGTAGATACATATATTGGAATATGCACAAACATATTATGTATAATATGTAGAGTTATGTCATATGTAGCCTGCATTGCCATGTCCAAGGACCTTTTGAGGTCACCATTCAAAAGCCACATAACAAGACACCGCCAGTGTCATAGGCCAGTCTTTGATTCGAAACCTGTAAAGGTTGTGAACATGACTCGTTGAAGTACGGAGATCGAACAACTTGGCAATAGTATCCCTGCCCCAGCTGTTGAGATGAGATGTGAGTCTAGCTTGAAGGTCACTGCCAAGTGGTCACTTTAGGACAAGCATCGCTCGGTGAGTCTCGTCCTTCAAAATGGACTGACAATTGACTTTTACCTCGTTGTGCAAATACTTCTCCAAATACAGCACGCACGGCAGTGCTGTCAGAGCGGGGGCAACCATCTTGCCACCTATGCCAACACAGAATTCACACATGCATCACATTCTGGCCCGCTACCGTTGCTGTTGAATGCTTGAAGTTTGAAGTGTCAAACCACAAGAGCCGGAACCTTTGGACTTTGGACTGTGCCAAACCGAACTGGCTCAAATTAAGAGCTGATTCTAGCGTACTGCCGGTCCTTGTCCTTATCCTGCCAGGGCATGGCAATGGTCAGGAGTCTGTTTCGTTTAGTTTTGCTGTTCGGAATTTTGCACTGGCACCTGTATGGTGCTAAACCTCTTGCTGCATGAATACACGGATGCCCCTTGCCCTTTGATACCCGTTTTTGTCAGCACGACCCTGTTAATTTGTTTGACACGGCAATCAGCTCCCAAAGACGTCTTTGAAGTTGGGAGGACTAAGGGTTCAGGACGCAAAAAGGAATCACCGAGAAGGGGCTGCTCAAACGCGTTACCTGCAGAAAGCAGCACTTTTTCAGCATCACTGGCAGGCATGCACATCGGCACAATCTCGCAAGGCCTTGGCGCCAGATTCCACGTCTTCGGGCTCCACCTTGCCGCCTGAGAGGACTTCCAATGCAAACAGTGGCGCAGCTTGTGGCGAATCCGGTCACATGGAGACCTTGCCCTCAAGCGAGGCCAAGCCTCAGTTCTGGAGAGCCGCCAATCGTCAGACCGCGCCTGCAAATGGATCGGCCTTCTTCTGCTCTAGCCGCTTGAGCAAGGCCTGGCAAATTCTCTGGGCTGTTTGACTAGAAGCGAACAAGAAGATTGCTGGAGATTGACTGCCGACACAACGAACTCGTCTATTGATTAGGCATGTGAAACCATCATCTCTTCTATAAAATGTAGTACTACCTTAGCTGCCGGTTCCAGATCCCCTCAACCACGGAATCTTTTCCAAAGCCCTCACCCAAGCCTTTCCCGCACCCAAAGCCTCCCCCTATGTCATCCAGCCGACACTGCTTGTGCTCCAGAAAGCCTTGTACTGGCGTAGCCACATTCAAAAGACTGGTGACCCACCGGTGCTGCGACAAGCCAAGTGGCTTCACCTTGAATGCGACAAACCAACCTTTGAGGCTCCTGCCGGTGGAACGACCCAAGAGACCCAGACCGCAGAAGGTTTCTAAGGCGATGCTTGACCAACCAAACGTCGAGGCTCCCACCAAGCACCAAACATTGTCAGCTACAAACGCTGGTGGCGTGGCGGAAACAGCTGCGGCCAAAGACGTTCTTGCCCAACCCTGGCAGCTCTAGCAGACCAGACAGCTGTGGCAGCTCGAACTCGCACACCCCGCCAAGGCTCACGACAGACCAAAGTCTGGCCCTCCCTGCAGGCACTCGACCAAGGCGAACGCGGTTAGCTGTGGCAAATAAGCTCAAACCACTGGTGCGATCATGACTGCAACAGGCCACTGGTCCAGCCTATGATCTGACCACGACAGCGGCAACATACTACGAAGATCCAGGCAGGCACTCCAGGTTTTAAGCTTCAAGCAATCTGGTAAGCACCTTGAATCTGTGTCTACTAGGTGGTCGCAAAGACATTTTCGAGAGCTGGGCTGGTTTATTGTATCCGCTTGGGAGAAGAGTGTTACTGTCAGCGACTCCACGCGCAGGTGCCCTGTAGTCGTTAACACACTTACACGCCCAGTGAGCAAGCCCGATGCGACTACTGTTTTTGTTTTAGTAAGCGTCAACTGGCAATCGAAGGACATCATCCTCCGTGCTCCGCCCGGCGTGGCCGAGGCAGCGACTTGCTGATTCAAAAGCTGAGCTCCACTGGACAGTACTTGCTGCTGCTGCCACTCGCCTTTTCATGCAGATGCGTTTCTTGAAATCGTGATAGGCATCTGGCTGAGGACTTGCACTTGTACTTCTCCAGATGCGTGATATTGACCCAAACACCAATGACGCGTGTTGGAACAGGGTAACAACGGCAGAAACAATATCCAGAAAACGCCGCATTGTGCCTGAAAACAGCCAACCTTGGACCATGGCATGGGTGCCTAGCGAATATTCTCGGCGAGCGCAAAGCGCCTGCATGTTTACATCGTGCTTTTCGGCCGCGATGTCAATGCAGGACTTGCCCTCGTGGTTGCGGGCCTGGCTGTCACCCCACTTGCCCGCGTGTCTTGTCCGCGGCTAGCCGCGCAAAAGGAGGGCTACAGCGGGCAGATCGGCGCATGTCTGCATGTCTGCCAAGAAGGTTTCAACTCCTTGTTTGGGCAAGCACGGCATGCAATAAGCTGCTTTGTACATTGAGCTCTGATCTGTGCCACTGGACTTGTGCTGAGCCACTAATGTTGGATTAGATGAGATCAGGTTTGGCAGGAGCCCAAGTATCTAAACTCCAGGTGCTTGTAATTCAAGATAATTCCAGGATACAAGCGCAGCAAACAACAGCTGCCTCCAGTTGTCAAGCCGGCAGTGCATTGCCACCGCCGGGCGGGCATGTCTGCTTTGTCCAGTGCTCCCCCCCCGCCCCCCCCCCCCCGCACCGTTCTGCCTGCGGCTGACTCTTTTGTTCAACCAGGAACTCCACCACGGAGGTCTGGCCATGCAGCGTGGTGTGCGTACGAGGTGCAAGCGTTTTGTTTCAAGTTCTTGCCCATGAAGTCTGGGTACGATTGCCTTGACAGTGACTGTTTTCACGCAAGCTTGTCAGCATCCAGTCGATCCTTCCAATTGGGCATCCTGGAAAAGACCAGCTGCCCTGTTCTGAGAAAAAGGAGCAACATGCATTTGAGTTTATGAATGGAAAACCCCTCCCACGAGAAAGAAGGCACGCCAATAGCTTGCCTTAGCCGCCTTAGCCGGACGCTCGATGCGGGCAAAACACATCGGCTCCTGCGAGGCGCACACCGCCCGGTGTAGCGGCAGCATCTTGGCGCTGTCCAGGGCCTGCAGGTCGGCCTGGACGGGTCGAGTCTGGTTCCAAGACTTTTGGTCCGGAACGGGCGATCTAAGGACTTTCCTATTGCCTGGGATTACACTCTGCAATTGCCAAAATAATCCCAAAACCAAATTAACCAGGTATCTCAAAATAGGGTAGAAAAGGGTATTTCCCCAGCATACTCTCAGGGTGCAATAGGGAACCCCTGGACACAAGTATATCTCTGGGATATGCTACGGCGGCTGTTGACCCTTGATTTGAGCCACGCATGCTTGTTGCGGGGGTCAACATGTGGCTATTATGCCGCACGAGTTGCACCAAGGCATTTGGATTTGAGGTGCACCCAACTGAGGCAGCCGAAGATTTTGCTCTCACGGCATTGTCACATGTAAAGCTGCCTCCTGCCCTCATAGCGCCCTGAAAATCGCTTGCAGCTGCTAAGTCACAATTCAATGCAATTAATGTTTACAACATGCGGACAAGGGACGTTGAATGGGTGTTGACGTGTTCTTGTGTGGGAGCAATAACTCTTCGGTGACCAGCACTGGTTTACATTTGGCTTTGCTTCCTCTGGATAAGACCCTCTGAAGCCAGTCGCTTCCATCCGCCTGAACTGGCGAATGACATACAAATAGATCCATCCATCGGCCTTGAAGTAGTGCAGCAACTTCAAGGCTGTGAGATCCCCCTGTCGGCAAGTGAAGACCCAACTGTCATGCTCTCATGGAACATTCAAATGTGAGCTTGAAGACACCATTGACACCCTGTTGAACTTGCGGCAACAGACTTCGGACATGTCAGTCAGACGTCTCAGCCAAAGAAGCAAGATATCAAGCACAAGTCTCACCGGACCAGCTACTGGCACCCAAACGGCCTTGTAGGCTGCCCAGTGGGCTGCTGTGCAGCCATTCTTGTCGCCTGGCAAGGCATGCAACTGCATCATCCCCACACGGATGAGCTCCCCAATGTTGCCACTCTGCTGAGTCTCACGCATGTGTGCCATGGTTGAAGGTCCTTGCATGCCTCCCTAAATGGGTCTGTCTCGAATAAGAGACCTCAACTGTTTGGATCGTTCTTGTCAGCCCGAAATAGCCCGGTTAGTTGACACGCACTTCTGATCTCAGAGTTCCTGCGCTCGAGGCCCCGGCCATCTGCCAGCAGCCTATCGCGGATGCCGCTCCCGCGATGCATCAGCAAGAGGATGCTGGGGTAAGACCTGGCGCGTCCAAACATATGCGCTGTGCACCAACTCTTCGGCTTCTGTGGAGTTCAGTTCAAAGTCCCCCGAGTTCGCATATTCTCATTCCGACTGGCATCTCATAGAAACCTTCCAACTTCCTTCACTCTTCCGTCCCGTTGCGTGTACCCACATGCCCCACGCAGGTTTAGGGTTTAGGCTGAACCCTCAGCCGGGTTCAGCCGGCCATAACAACAATAGACTGCAGCTTTGCAAACTAGAATAGAACCCAACAACTCACCGTTTTGTTTGGAGAAGTCGCCGCTACCCATTTTGGGGGTCCGTTGTCAGTTGCCGCCTGTGCTGCACGGCGATCATCATCGACGTGGCGCCCAGGGAGTCCTTTGCACCCACAGCGGCCTGGCCACAGACCCATGCGATTTGGTGCCAAAGCGGAACACCGGCCTGGGCCCCCAGGACCCCAGGACCCCAGGACCCCAGGATCACTGATTCTTGTCACCCTCTGTGAAGTTCTTTTGGCTCGGAAGTTGAAAGCCATGATGGTACAAAGCGTTGCAGTAGTTACTACTTCAGCTGCAGAAGCACCAGCTTCCTGGCACAAGCCGTGAGGAATGTCAAAGTCTGACACCCGCAAGTTCTACAAACTTGATTGGACATTATTCAAGCTTCCGCAGAACCTTCCGCATCCTGGCTGCGGGCCCAGAGGTCCCTTCCGCGAACTTCCGCGGCACATTTGTTTCATTGTTTGCTTCCGCAAACCTTCCGCGGCGCATGTTCTACAAGATTTGCTTCCGCAACTATTGGTGCAAAAAGGAAGGTCATTTTAAGTAAGGAAGGAACATAGAGTTTCGCCGCAGCCTGTGTAAGCTTGGGCTCCATTGAGCTACCCGTGCTACGTGGGCACTCGCCTGCAAACAGGGGGCCGCCCTTCCGCGGAGCTTCCGCGAACGCGAACCTTCCACAAACCTTCCGCAAAATCCGCCGGCTGTTTTGGTCTTCTTGGCTTGCTGTTGGAAACTGCTCTTCTAGAAAGCGGTACGTTGCTTGTACGCAGCAACGCCTTTCTGCTTCTACTGCAATCGTTTCTCCGTGGTTTTCCACGCACGCCAACTGAAGCAGTTCATTTCATATCAGCCACAAAGCTTTTGCAAACCTTCCGCGAAAGAATCCCTTCCGCGAAGCCTTCCGCATGCGTCCGCGCGTGTGGCGTGGTGTATATTTTCAATAATCAAGTCAGTCTCCCTCTAAACTAGCTTGCGGCCAAAAAACCGCCGCTCATTTGGTCCCGTGAATCTGAAGCAGAAAGGAAACATTGGCCCAATTGGTCCTGTCTCAACCGCACTTGGAACGGACAGTTCTCTGGTGGCGCACTTTCTTGGAGGCCGAAGAAGCCCACGGGCGTTCAAACGAGATTTGACAAGATGCAAGTAAAAAAGGCGTGCCCCACACGCACACCCACACCCGCACCCGCACCCCACACCCACACACTATATTATGGCAAATCTCAGTAGCAACTATGTTCAACACGCAGGTTGATTCTTCTGCACCCGTCAGGCAAAGCCCTTGTGTTTAGCAAAGTTCCGAAGGCGCATCTGGCATCCGGCATCCTGCCTGAGAATCCAAGAGCAGCCTGGCCACGGGAACGTGGTCCCGCAGCACCGCCCACCTGAGAGAATTCGTCAACTTAGTCTGCAGGTCAACGCGCTCGCCTAAATCAATCCACGATCCTTTCGCAGATTCTAGCATCGAGGCGCATCAGTGGCGTCTGCTTGTTGTTGGCAAGAGCGTCCACCTTGGCCCATCTCTGGTAACATGCAGGACTAGACCAGACACCTTTAGATCTGTCTTACCCTTGGTACCCTTGGGCCGTACTGAAACACAATATCATTTTTTCCAGAGTAGAAAAGGCCGGCATAGATTCCTAGCTGGAAGACCGCCCTTTTTGGAAGTTTGCAGCTCTGAAACTGCCAAGTCTGAAACTGCCAAGTCTGAAACTGCCAAATCAATCTCTTTTAGTGTCAATGCTACAAACGAAAGCCCACGTCGCTTCACGAATGAAGCATTCACCAGCACTCTCAAAATGAGCCGAGCAAATGCTCCCTTTGTAGCACAAAAGAGCTACTTCACACCTTGCCGCTTACCTGGTAGTGTACTTGGTGTTGAACCGGGTCCCAGGCCTGCAAGCCCTTTCCAAGGCCGGCGAGGACAAAGTCCTAGGCGCGTTCTGGATCTCTCGATTTTCCTTCTCGGGGATGGTTCACCTCCAACAAAAAGGGAAGCACTCCTTCATCTTGCGCCTCTTGCCTCTCAACAGTACGTTGCCCCACGGACCCATTGACGCCAATGAACAATTGTCATTGTTCCCTCTTGGCCGACTGGGAAGAGAGTTGCTTTGTTTGAGCAGGTTCACTTTCTCGCCCGTATTGGCTATATGGATGTTCACGCCGATTCGGGCAGGTGGAAAGTCATTTTAGCTGAATGCAATGAGGCCTCTAGTGGCTGAATGACACAAGTCAAGTGAAGCCATGCATTGTGCTCAGGGAACAACTTCCTACCCCACTGGAGCTTGGCTCACACCTTGGCTGCGCAAACCCTTCCAAGTGCTCGTTTGACCAGCAAACAAAACTCCGTGCGCATGAGGCTTGTGGGCCATTGGGAGGCCACTTGATCTTTTCCTCTCATGTAACACTAAAAACACGCATGCCATGCTTGCCTGAGGTTGCTTCAGGCTGTGGCCTTGTTTCCCACCAGAGCGGCCCAGTGCAGGAGGCTGTGACCATCCTGGCCATCCACATGGAGATGCGAGATAAACAAGAATGCGTCTAAATCATGCTTCCCTGTCCTCTGGGTCTTAGATATCAATACATGCTGATTGTAAAAGGGCTGTTGTCATCGCCTCAACATATATGCATAGTGTTGACGCATGTTTTGCCATGTTTCATAGAGCGCTCATTTAGCAGTCAAAGTGTTGTGTAGCCCGCAGCCAAGTTTCTCTCAACAACCGCATGCCAGCTGTATCTACGAGCATTCGCAAGCCGCCAAAAAAATAAAATTCCTAACTGCATCTTCTGGCCTCATCGGTGCTTTGCCAAAGATCTGGATAAGCCTGCCAGGAAAATGCAGGCCTACGAGTCTGAAAGCCATGAATAGGCACTGATGAAAGGTCTATCAAGATGGGGCCAACAAGCTGCAAGGCAGCTGTGGAATTCTGCCAAAGGGAAACAGCAGCGAGCAAACAGTGGCTTGCGCTGAACCAAGCATCACTAGATATGAGTCCCAAGACAATATCATGATGCTGCCAAGTCAGAATCAAAAGTCAGAGACGGGGCAGCCCAGCCACATGTCTTGCCGCGTCGGTGTCTCAAAACAGCCACAAAGGAGTGTTGAATAATTAGTGCAGTATCATTGAATGGCCTCATGGTTGGTTTCTCCAGACAGTCTGGCCCCAGTGGCAGAGGCCACAAAGCGAAACATGCCAGGAACATGCCAATACCGCACCTCCAGCAACTTTAAAGCCACTGGAAAGTTCTGCTGCCTGGCACTGCGCGACTTTGGCTCAGGGTAGAGCCAGGTTTCCAAACGTGCATCGAACACCCCACATGACAGTTCCAACACCTTGCTATGCCGTCCCAAGAAGTCACAAGCCCGTCTCACCAGGTAGGTCCTTCACTGGCTGGCTGGCTGGCTGACTGGCAGGTTGGCTTGCCGAGGTTAGCTGGGGCTGCCCAGCTGGCTGTGCTTTTCTTTCTCCTTCTCTGACCCCAGCCGCTGCTGGCTCAAGAAAGCTGCCATGCAAAATGTGTTCTGCATGAGGAACCCAGGCCGTACAGCGCATGCCCGTCTCTTATGCGACCCAGCATGGCCCGCCAGAGCAAGTGTGTCTGCAACTGAATAGTGCGCACAAAATGATTGCGATGGAGCACTTAGGAAGCCTGACTCCAACTTCAGAACGCAAACGAGGCAAGTACCTTGGACGCAACTGGACTCCCAGCATGCCTTGCAACGCCATTTGCCAGGTCTGTTGCTACGTAGCGCAATAAATATTAATGACAGTTGCCCCCGTACAATCCGCCGGCTCTGCCAGCGTGTGTTGTGGATGCTCTTGTATGTAGTCTTGTTTGCGGCTTCTGCGTCGTCCTTTTGCGCGGTTGTTTACCTCGTCTGAGTTGACCTTGACTCAACGCAAACGTTTGCGTTTGCGTTTGAGGCTTCTGCAGGCAAACAACATTCTACAACATAGCGCAAAAACAAGAAACACCCACGCTTGCTTGCTTCTTTAACACAGCGCAAAAGCGCAAAAGTGACTACATACAGGCAAAGCTACAAGACGCTGGCATGTCTGCTTATGCGCGCAAGTGAGGGCCTACAAAGGGGTGCGTCAAGGCCAGGAAAAGGCCAGGAAGCGGTCGGGTTTCTGCCAAAACCCAAGCCGTGGAATGAGGCACAAACACAAACAACACGACGTCCAAGGACTGCTGCAAGACACGCACGGACACGCACGCGTCTGCTAGCTGCTGCGAGTGTTGCGCGCGCAAGTAAGTGGCTACGAAGGAGTGCATGGCTCTCCAGGCCAGGCAGCGGTCAGGTGCACTTGCAGATCATACCAAAACCTGCGCCAAACGACATTCTACCATACAGCACAAATAACACAAACGAGACTGCGCACAAGAACAACCACAGGACACGCATTTGCTTGCCGCTGCCAGTGTTGCGCACACAAGCAAGCCCCATGACGGGATGTCACACCTGGCTCAGTTAGGCTGCCCCCAGCCTCCCAGGCTGCAAGGCAGCCACCCCAAAAATTGACAGGAGCCGACGGCACACGCCAACGGCGGGAAAGTAAAATCAGGAACTTGCATCCACCTCGTCAGAGGGATGAGGGGGTTGGCCCAGAAATGTTCCTGGATAAGCGAGCACATTTTGTCACTTGATATGGAGGTTACATTTGTTGGGACCTGCGCCGGCACCTCAAGCATGTCCAAGCCCTTGCTTTGTCTCACATGCCTACGAAAGATTACGAAAGAAGCGGTGGCATTGGCATGTCTTTTAGGCAAAAAGAAGGCAAATGCTATCTTGAGAACCAATCAGTCGCGGAGGCAGTAGGATCCGGCGCCGCGTCCTTTCTGAGCCCGGCCTAGCCAGCATGAAGATATCAGAGGACTTCGGCGCAAGCGTCGCCTGCCATCTCCAAAAGATTCCAACTCTCAGCGATGCCTCAAATTGACCTCCAGGATGCCTAGACGGAATAACGTGTGTATGCATACAGCTGTCTCTCCTCTCCCTTCCTGACGGCCTGCCTGCATGCCTGTCTGTCTGCCTTCCGTCTGTGCCTGTCTGCGTCTGTCTGTGTCTGTCCGTCTCTGTCCGTGCCTGTCTGTGTCTGTGTCACTCTCTGTCTGTTTGTCTGTCTGTCTCTATCTCTTTCTCTCTCTCTCTCTCGATCTCTAATCTAACCTAACCCAGCCTAATCCTTAGAATCGACGTATCCATCGATCTACCTACGTCCCTACCTACCAATCTTATCTCGTGTTATCTTAGCTGATCCAAACTTATCTTGTCTATCTAATCTAATCTAATCTAATCTAATCTAATCTAATCTAATCTAATCCCATCCATCCATCCAGCCAGCCAGCCCGCCATCCATCCAACAAATCCCAATCACGACACATCTTGGCACAGGCGATGGCAGCCATAGCTGCAGTGCTTGTCGGAAAGGAAGCTTTGATCAGCATGGACAAGCCAAAGCAAGGGCAACCACAACATCAGAGTCACTACAGGCAGTACCACAATTACCCGAAGACTTGGAAAGTCTTAACACCTTAGGGCGTATCAATCTCCGCGCAAGCAATTTCTTGAGATTATCTGCCATTACCTTACACTAGCTTGCATGACCTTGCATTAAAATACATTGCATTGCAGTACCTTGCCAACATGATCCGCCGACCCCCTCTCCGAAAAGGGGAAGCACACAAGAATGCTGGCTGACACGAAGGGTAGCCTCCGTGCGTACCTCACAGCCAATGTGCACAGCATAGCCTTCGGAAGTCTACCTTCCTCAAGGCTCAATTTGGGGCTCCAAGGGCATGTCTGCTGGTAAAGGCCTGACATGGGGTGGGCGGTTCTGTTCGCTATTCTGCTAAGTATTGCAAAATGCTTTGCAAATAATGCTATCTTCGCGGCTCGTTTTAAAGCCACACGGCACTTGACAAATGTCTGACGAGGTAATGCTGGGGGTGTTGACTGCTGCATCCCGATTTGTTCTATTGTTTGAGATTCAACTGTCACTTTAGTCCTTTCGCGCGGGGCTTGTGGGGCGCGCCTCGGTCGCAATCCTGCGCGCATCTAAGCAAAACGTGTGATGTGTGTGCGGATGGTTTGGCAGCAGTTTAGGGCGCTCCATATCACTGGCTGACGCGTTGGCAGAGGTTGATTTCGGGCTAAAATTTGGAGCAACCTAGAGCCACAATGTAGAATGTGTAATTGTTGTCTATCATCATTTGCAACAAATCCAACAGTGGTATCGCGGCCCTCTTCAGGCATTTGTGTAATGCTTAGCACTAAAGGCGGAAGGAGCACTGGGCGGCAGCCCTTAAATACAAACACAAAGATACACTGCATATCTATATATATATATACACGTGTTTATGTAGTATACATTGATGGAAGCCATGTTGGTACGGTTGTCACATGTGCTGAAGCCTGCCTCCTCGGCCTGCTCGAAGGCAGCAGCCGGGGCTTCACTTGCATCTGGCGATGGGACTCTGCAAGCTACTAAGTTGCGGGGTTGGCCTAAACTTCTCTCTTGGAGCTATAAACATATGTAAAACACAGTAACGAGCAAATCCGGAGGCAACGCAGGCTTGTGCTCGCAAAGGTTGCAAGGCAGTCCAAGGCAAGTACAAAACTGACATTAACTCACAGCAAGCGCCTGCGATTCGCTCCTGAGCTCCACATGTCAGCCGGTGGTTTGTGATTGCGGGATTCGCTCTTCGATTTCATGGGAAAATGCTTAGCACAGCAAGCGCTGCAGCAGGTTTGGAAAGTGTAGAAGCTTCGGACCCAAGCCCCTTCGTACCTTCTGTGGCTTTGTCTTCAGGCTCGGGGGCCTTTGGCTTCTCCTGCGGATCGGTCGGGTCTGCACCCCGGTTCCATGTTCCCCCTCAAGAAATTCCAAGTTAAACTCTGCGTTGAGTATATGCGGGTAGCCATGTCATGAAATCCCAACTTCCCAACTCCAGTCTAGGGAATCGGATTGCAAGCGCCGAGTTCCATAGCCGTTGGTTTTCAGACCTCTTGACAAAGGCGCCCTCCTCGACCTCCGTGTCCGCATCCCCCTCTCCCCCAAAAAGAAACGACTGAAAACGCCCTATGGGGGCGAAGAGAAGAGTGCTTCGTCCACGCTTGGCCGTGCAACCACTCCAGAAGCTCTACTGGTGCCCAATGGTGCCCACATCTGCCTGATTTGGTATGTGCCAAACCTAGCACATCTCAGCCAGGCACGTGACAAAGCACCCAAAGAAACTCATGCAACGGCGCCTCAGACTCGTCATCGTCCGGCTGGGAAGATGTCATTGACACCTTCACAATCTTTGGCGTCCGCAGGCTAGCCGCACTTTCGTTCCCTCAAACTCAATGCTTCGGTAACTATCATCAAACAAGAGCAAACTACTGTGTTCATGTGCCTCAATCGACCAGTGGCGAGGAGCTTACTGTGAAAGCTCCGCGTGTAAGGAACGCGCAAATCCCCAGTTTGAAAGAGGACCTGCCTCTCAGCTCTCGAAGACCGATCGAGGGGACCGCCAAGGCGAGCAGGGCTCAGTTGACACTGTGCCAAACGGGCCAAACACACAACATGCTTGAGCAAGCTCGAGCCGACAGGCAAATGGCATCAGTGGTGGCACTGCAAACATAAACCGGCTTTGGCTAAACTGCTAAACTGCTAAACTTCATGATGCTTCTCGCAGAAAACAAGGCCGCCTGGTCAACCTCTCAATCAAAAAGGTTAAAGCCAGTGCTGGGCCCTCTTGGCAACTCCTTTGCCACAGCCGAACCGTCGGTTTGCCACAAGCGGAACTACAACAATGAAGTCCTGTTTGCCGAGAAGCACCAACGTCTGAATCCATGCAAGTTGCGCTTCTGCATGGCACACAGGAAGCCGAAGGTGCATTGTACATTTGCATGTCCCGTGGTAAGCAAGTGGTTCTGCAACCTTCCCAGCCAAGTCATCAACGAATGTGTCAAAACCGCTCGCTTGGCGCAATGTCTGGCCAAGATTCGAATTCCATTTTCTCACATCGGCATGTCTTGCTCCTGCTGGGCGTGGCATCCAAATGCAGCTGCCTGGTGCGTTGAAGGCACTACCCAAATGGATACATTCTGCTGGGCAATGCCTGGCAGCAGCTGTCACGACTCCGAAGGCTTGGTTTGCCGCCCCTTGGCCTTTTGGAAAGGAGGTACCGCCCCTGGACGGGTTGGGTGGCTTGAAGAAACGAGCGGCAAAGCCCATAGCAGTGTCTTTTCGGGTAACGTCAACGATATGCCTCCGTTGAAACATGTAGCTGGTCTGTGAGCCATGCATAGCATAGCCATGCTCTGAATCCAATCTGCGCGAGACGCGAGATGCTCACCGGAGAAGCAGGGCTGTCTGCCTCAGGTTGAGAAAGAAACAAACAACGAGTGAGGCGGAGAGGCGGGTCGAACACAATCAACCAGCGGCGGGATAGTCATGCACAAGTCACGCATTGGAAAGCAGTCTTCAGTTTCAGCCTGTCACTCGGCATATTTTTAAGCCAAACTGGTGCTGACACGCCTTGAAAAAACAGAGCGGGCTTCGGCTTCAGACAATGATGTACCTCTCGTGAAGACCCACCAACTTCAACATGGGGTTCACTTTGCCAAACAAATACCAGTTTCTGCAAAAAAAAACAAAAAAACATCTGCTCTCGCCCGACTATCTTCCCCGCACGCCCCCTGGCCCCCCAACTCCAATGCGCTGTGACGTCTCAGACCCAAAAATGGGTGGTTGTTTTTTGTTTTTTCCGCAGGCTTCGTTGATACGGGCCACACCCAACTTGGAAGTTGGGGGGCAAGTGGGTTTGGCACCTGTTGTCAAAATGGACTTGGCAAGAAGTTTCCTTTTTTTGCGCAGAATCTGGTATCCCTAGATGCAAATCGTTCCCGTAGCCTTTGACGTCTGTTCCAAAGCATACTTCCCAAGAATGCAATGATGCCTGGCAAAACGGCCAGAATCGGCTGTTGACATGCATCTGGCCCGGCTCCCCCAGATGAATCCCAGGCCCTTAACCTGCAAGACCGAGGCCAGCAACTCCTGCACAGGCTGGCCAAACCAAAAGGTCGGAAACGGACTTGTGTGCTGCTCTGTCCTGCAAGGTGCTCTTTTGAAGGGTCTGATTACAGCTAATTTGCCTTTGCTTTGATTCCATCCATTGGTTTGAGTCAGCCCTGACACCAATGACCGCCCAGCTTTTGGTGGCGTCTGTACGCAGCGTGGGTTCAACTCCAAAACTCCACCACTATTTGCCAAACATGAAGCAGAAAGAATATGTTGCAAGGTAGCGAACATAAATTTGAAGGGCTGGTCCTCGCTATCATCAAACAAACTATATGATGACGTGCGCTTGAGCGCATTGGTTGTTCAAAGCTCAGCAGAAGGCGTGGGACAAAACAACGGAAGGGGATGTGTGACCAAACCATGCAAACACGATGACAAACAAACAAACAAACAAACAAACAAACAAACAAGCAAGCCAACCCACCCAACCCAACCCAACCCAACCCAACCCAACCCAACCCAACCCAACCCAACCCAACCCAACCCAACCCAACCCAACCCAACCCAACCCAACCCAACCCAACCCAACCCAACCCAACCCAACCCAACCCAACCCAACTAACAACAGCAAGAACAGCAAGAACAGCAAGAACAGCAAGAACAGCAAGAACAGCAAGAACAGCAAGAACAGCAAGAACAGCAAGAACAGCAAGAACAGCAGCAAGAACAGCAAGAACAAGAATCGCAGAAGCAGAAGCAGCAGCAGCAGCAGCACAAGCAGCAGCAGCAGCAGCAGCACCAGCAGCAGCAGCAGCAGCAGCAGCAGCAGCAGCCCACCGCCACCACCCCGCAAACATTGCGACATAGCAAGTCTGCCCACTCCTGCATGAGGCCTCTGAACACGTACCTCCTAGGTCTTGGTCTCCTGGCACAGCTGAGCTTCCTTTTACCGCAGGTGCAAGACATGCGAAGCATGCGTAGTGAAATTGTGGCGCTGCATTCATACGAGGCTTATATTGTGCATAATATATCCTGCATCGCCAGCAAGGATGAGCTTGCTTCCCTTTGAACTGAAAGGCTGGCAAAAGCAAAACGACAAAGCCCCTCTACTGGCTTTGGCAGGTCTGTGATTCGAAAGATGAAAGAAGTAACAGTAACAGTAAGCCTGATTCTTTGAAGCATGACGACTGGAAAATCACGCTTCGCCCTATCAGTTGAATGCGACGGTGTCTTGAAGGATAAGCATCCCTCACTGAGTCTCTTTTTGTTGGAGAAGCACAGTTGACTTTGTACCTCGTGACGCGCACGCTCTCCCAGATACAACGCGCAAGCACTGTCAGACCTGGGCGACTACCTTGCCGCATATCCACCCAGCATTCGGCTGGCGGTTTGAGGCAAGACTAAATCGTGCCTTGAGCAAGTGCCGTTGACGCAAGGCACTCAAACAAAATGTTCACTCAAGTTTGGAAAACAGCTGCGCACTGTCTCTAAAAAGCAACTTGCTCGTAACCTTTTCAAGTTGCGCGAAGAAAATGCCTCCAGGCATGCCAATGGGAAAGAGCTGTCCACATTTAATCCACCCAGAATCACCGCACTTGCTCAGTGTATAGACATCATGCAGCGCTATGACCGCAATGTTGATCGTTGGCATGCATACATCGCACCACTTGACCCCACTTCGGGAGAACAAGGAACGCAGAATGCCAGGCACCCCTGTTTGGTATTGCAATGCTGCGAAGTTGAAAAACATCCGTTGCGATTCCTGCAGTACGCTTGCCTGGAGGCTGCTTGGCTGTGTAGCAACCTGGCAACCCTAATGGCTACCAATCCTCTCCAGCTTAGCTGGGAGCCAAAGCCGTCACGTTCAGCACGTCGGCCGTTGCCCGGCACCTGCCAGCAAAAGATTTGATAAATCCTCGCATCATGTCGTCCGCCGGTAGTTCCCCAAAGCAGAGATGTGCCACAAGCCGTTGCATGATCATAATGATGTCTGGCATCGCAGCTCTGTGCGTGTTTCGGCATGGTGCAGTTCGACAACGCAACGCACATTTAATACTGCCCGCTTACTCTAAATCCGCCAATTTGGATGGATCAGTGGCTTTTTCTCTTGTGAAATAGTGGATGCTGCGAACGCAACATCCAAATCACCTTCGAAGCCCATATTGCGCAACAGCAACCTTCAACGCAAACAAGGCTACTGGTAGGGGCAGCCTGAAGTCCTGGCTTTCCCCGGCTTTCTCGCGCTCTCTCAGATTGGTGGAAGCCCCGTATATTCACGCGCATACACACAAGCCACATCGGTGTATTGGATTTGCAGTGTTGTACGGACCGAGCTGACCTGACACAACCCCTTTTTCAATAGTGTCAATCCAACCCCTCCAAGCATTTTGCGGCGCTTCCAGTTCCCGCTATAGTCGGCAACCAGGGTTCCCTACTGCCAGGCTTCACATAGTGGTTTTTTCCTGGTCACCCACTATGGCAACTAGAAACACTCACTTTCCCAGCCAACTCCTTGCGCAACCGCCCAATAGATCGTTCAGATGAGGCACACTGGCGACAGGTTCTCTCTGATCTCCTGGCCCGGCGGAAGGCCGGGAGCAGGGGAGAGCTGTAGCGCAGCAGCATACCTTGGTAGGGTATGGGGGAAGGGAGAGGCCGAGCTAGGTGGAGAGAGCCAAATTTGAACCTCAAAGAAATCGTGAGACTCCCTCAACGTGTTCACTTTCAGGGACCCGGTGGAATGGTTGCAAGCTGGAAGCCCACCACGCACACGCACGCATGCACGCATGCACGCACACACGCCACTAATGCACGTGCACAAACACACTGACTCACATTTTCAAACAGTGTCGAACCTTATTCCTTCTCTCTATCAATTCACTGGGTTCGTTGGCGAGGGAAGCATTGCTTCTGCACAAGGACGCATCCAGCCACAGATGCCCGTCATGAAAACTGTTCTGGTCCATCGTTCTTTTCAACAAACCTTGTCAAGAAGACTCAATATGTCCATCTGGGCTTAGCGCCAGCAAGCATTGTTGAGCCTGAGGCAGCTTGCCCCATCTGGGAAAGCCTGCAGGGATCATACGGTCTACAGCTTGCATGCAGATTGTGGGGGTGCTCTGCAAACACAAGGAGGACAGATTACAAACGATCAACGCGGACACACAAAATACTTGGTGACCTTTCAAAGTTTCTGAAAGCCAGATTGTTGAATGCTGAAAAACGCACCAATCTCACGCTGCGCTCGTCTGCTATGGCGCGCATCAAACCCATTTTCATGCCAACAGTGCAGCGCACTGAAATTGGCCCTGCAAGCCTGTTGTGGGCACCACGCATCAGCTGCTCGTCAGTTCTTGATGCGTCCGAGTTGCGTGCCGAAGATCATGATGAAGATGCCATACCTAGAGCGAGTCCAACGATCGAGTGTGACCCAATGTGCGGAAAACTGCGCTTCCGCAATGTTCTACGCGAGCTAGACGCGCACGGCGGGAATTGTGTGCTTGTGCTTGCTGCAAGCATCGCGGCCACTCAACGTCACTGCGTGATCAAAATGCAAGTTGCGTAGTTGGGAGTGGGCAGGTTGTGAACGGGCTACGTAACAGAGCAAGAACCTGGCACCAGCGTCGCGCTATTATGTTTGTCATCACGCCCCCTCTTTTCAAACAGCACCTCGCATCAAGCAGCGAAACTTCCAGGCCTCAAGGCGGAGTGGTTTGGGGATGGTTCGATGAGTCGGGGCCAAGGTCCTGCAGACGCGTGCAAGGGACACTCAGTTTGCCAGCCCTAGAGCGGCTTGTCCATCACGGGCTTGGCTGAGACGATCTCATGTGAGTTCACAAGACCTGCAACCCCCAAACCCGCCAGTAGCACTCGACTCCGATCCCAGCAGCGATGAGGTCTTCGGCACACTCACTAGTATACACTGGCCTGCTCCAAGAGGTAGACGCACTTGAGACGACGCCAAATTCACAACTAAAAAAGAAAACCAAGCCACAACCAAAACATTGAGACAAGCGCCAATAAAACAAAACGGATCATGTCTAAATAAGGATTGGGACCCGCGATGGCATCCCCAATGGCGTGTCCAAATAAGGATTGGGACCCCCGATGGCATCCCCAATGGCATGTCCAAATAAGGTTGGGACCCCCGATGGCATCCCCAATGGCATGTGTAAATAAGGATTGGGAGCCCCGATGGCATCCCCAATGGCATGTGTAAATAAGGATTGCGACCCCCGATGGCATCCCCAATGGCATGTGTAAATAAGGATTGGAGTTAGTCGCCCCTAGCCTCTTTTTTTGTTGTGGATTTTGTGTATTTAAGTGTGGTTTCTTTGTCTTCTCTTGTGGAGAGGCAGCTTTCTTGACGCACTTGGCCTCCTTCTCGCTCAGAAGGCCGCCCGCCTTCTTGCCGCTGTCAGAGCTCAGCACCTCCGCGGCGTGGCTCCCGTCTGTCACCGACAGCGTCGCCTCATTACCTAGCTGGCGGCTCATCACACTGCTCTCCACCGGCCATGTAGAGCTCGCGGCCGCCCTCTCTAGGGCGAGTCTCCTGCGAGCTTCCTTCTTGGCGACCTGAAGGCGCAGGTCCTGGCAGCCTCGGTGAGGCGCAGGCCCAATGGCCTCCTGCTTCAGGTTCTCCTCGCTTCATGATGGCCAGCACCGTCCTCCCAGTTCTGAGGATCCCCACCGCAACCCGGAAGCGCGCCCTTCGCATGCTACGTGGGCAAGACCGTGGTCGGCTTCCCCGCTTGAAACCGCTGTCAAGCGCCATGAGGCTCGTGTTGCTCCTGGTCGTTGGCGGTCGCGATCTGCGTGTGCTCGATGAGCTCTGCTACCAGCTAGTTTGGCAATGGCTCGATGATTCGGGGCCGAACCCAGGGCATGTGGCTACTGGTTTGGCCTTTGACTCAAGGGCGCCCGCGGATGCATGTGCGATGTACACTCAGTTTCACAAATGGTTTTCTGCACCCTGAACGAGCCAAGATCTAAAATCCACTTCTGAACGACATGCCAAGAACAACACTTAACATACCCATGTTCCAGAATCTTGAAGAGTGACGTCGTGCATGTCAGTGTCTTGGGCAACGGTCCAAGCTGCAATCTCGTAAACACGTTGTGTGATGGGAGCTGATAAATTCACCTCATTGAGGTTTGGGGAGTGTTGTGGCAGTGCAGCAGGCAACACCTGAGCATGGGTGGTGTGGCAACCCTGAGTCATTCACATCATGACGTCCACATCCAAGTGACACCAGCACCAGAGCATGGCAAATCTTCCGCAGTCTGCTAACCTGCGAGCAGGGCATAAGCCACTGTGATTATCTCCAACCTGTCAAACCATCTAGAATCAAATCCTTCCGGGAAACCGCTGGAGCCCTGCAATGTCATTGAGGGCCTTACGACTGCAGAATGCGCAGGCAAGAACACGTCGAACCAGCCCTCCGGCCTTTTTCACTTTGAAGTAATGAAAGGCCACGATCGGGAAGATCTAGGTTAAGCGGCCGAAGACTCTGGAACGTCATTGGGCTCCTACAAGAGCCTGCGCTTTCAAAGGGGGTATGTCTCAAACAGGCATTACTAGGGGGTGTTGCTTGCCAATCGAAGGTTTGGCAGGCTGATTCCGCGGGAGATGAAATACATCGTACGGCTTTAGCCAGTTCGTTGTTCAAACATGCTGGTTCCCTTGCAACTTAGCACAAACAGAGGCTTAAGCATTTCCCTCCTCTCTAGCCTCAAACTCTGTCGCTGCGCTGACGGCCTAATGGCGAGAGCTTGTCCGTTGTGTGCCATCTGTGCACCTGGCTGCCCCTTGTGGCACATCGCTCCCCAATGCAAGCCGAGGCTCGATGTTGTTGCAAACGCCTCACGTCAAGCCAGCGAACTTGATGAAGACATGTCAAGCAAGCAGCCGTGGCACACAGCGAGTCTTGTGTTCGCAGCCACGGCACAGAAAAGAGCAGCCACCAGAGCACTCATCGCTACCTGAAGATGTCGACTTACAATTTCTGGCGCCATCAGGCATGATTACTTTGCCAGCTTTGACCAGTCACGTAGATTAGATGCTTGAACATTGGCTTGGCAATCTGCCCAACTGAAACACACTTCCTGGCTATGAGGCAAGACTCGCAATATGTTTAGTTCTGCGCATTCTCACCTGTTTGCCTTCTCTGGTTGGAGGGAGTCCTTTGCAGGGTTGGCCATTTACACGGGGTTGGCCATCAACATCCTTGAAAGGGCGTTCCCCATTACAAGATCATAGCCATGGCGAGATGCAAAGGACTCGATGCCGACGGCAACTAACAGTCTCAGCGCCACGACGACTCCACGCATGACCTGCAGAGATTGTGAGAAGCAGTTGCACAATGCAAACTGGATCCGCAAACGTTTTGGTGAATAGACTCTTGCAGCAGCCTGTAACAAGTTTTCCGGCAGCCATGCGTCAGTATGGCTTCCAGCGGCCCACCCCTACACTACCAACCCTTTTACAGTTGGTATCTGGCACTCTCGAAACCACCGTGTTCCTTGCCTCCCCAGTTTATAAACACCGCGTGCCTTGCCTTTGACGCCCATGCAGGGCCACGCCGGAAGAGGCCTTGCCAGCGATACGCAGAAAACTAAAGTCGACTGCTCCAAAATGATCCAACTAGATGGGCAAAACGGCCTTGTGAGCGGCACTTGTTCTATGGGGACACGCCTTTGCTGGTTTGCTGGGGCTACCAATATCATGAGCCCAATGTTCAGAGTTGAGCCAGACAACAAATCGTGGGTGGTCTTCCTCGTTAGCCTGAGGAAAAGTCGTGACTGGCTCAGGCCCGAGTTTTAAGGCAGTCAATCAAAGTACTGTGCCGGCAGTTCCTGGCTCTTCCAACAAGCCTTTTCTCCAAACATGGAATCACAGTGGCAGGTTGTCGTGTGAGCGCTCCCCTACCAAAGCGAGACTGAGATGTAGCAGAACCCTTTGATTCTGCAAGCTACTGAAGCTGGTCCAACATCGTCCTCAGTGACTACCCGGTACACGACATATCCCAGCCAAAAGTCTCAACCAAAACACGGCAGCTGGTTGCAGGGGCAAGTTGTCGAACTCCATGAATGACCAGAACCAGAATGGAACCATGTGCACTGACCCAGTGGTTAATCACACTGAAACCGATAGCGGATGATTCTCGGAGGTTCAACCATACTGTGTTGCACATGGCAAACCCAGCTACTGCTCCCTACCGTGGCGTTGTGCGCCCTCTTTTCCCATAATTGAGTCAACGGAAATTTCCAGATGCGCCTGGGAACGATGCTTCGATGGCCAGCCTGAGAGCTTACGCGACATATATCCATAACAAATCGCTTGGCATCAACGAGAGCAATTCAAACAGCTCGTCTCTGACACAAAGGAGCCTAAGGAGCCAGGCTATGGACATGGAGATCATTTGGATCAATGCAAACCGAGGACGGGACACAGTGCAAGGAATGTAAATGGCTTCAGTCATCAGCAAGTTGATGGTCCTCAGATCGAATCGCTCGTCCCAACTCACAATGCGCTTGACGGTTTGAGCGGTTCGCCAGACTGATTGGGGCACAACGGGGGCGTGGCTTTTTAAGAACACCCTTCTGAGGGCCAAGAGCAGCCAAAAGGAAACCACCATTTTCGGAGCGGAGGACGGGGAGCCCCCACAGTCCTTTCAGCCAAACCATTGCAGCAAAGCAGCACGATCAGATCCAAACAAGCGCCGGCAACCTTGCAGAGCAGTGAGGGGCACAAGTCAGCCTTTCTCAGTTCCCTTGACAAAGGCACCCAAAGGCACCTGAAATTTAGTGCCAGAGTCTGTCGCCTCACTACAATTAGATGCAGCAATCCTGTCTTCACAATAGAAAAGGTCCCGCGTAAAATACCTATCTACCCAAACCCTGCAAATGAACTGGGAGCACCTACCAGCTCTGCCAGCAGGGACCTACCTGCATGTAGCTTGCCTTACGTCACTATCCTCTGCCTCGCCTTTCCGACCTCAGCTTGCCTTCCTTTTTGCGAGCTTTCTGTCTGTCGCCTGCTTGGGCAGCCCTCACACCCGAACAAACTGTGAACAAGCATCGAGAACATGAATAAACTGAATAACCTGCAACTATGCACAGTAGTGTCTCCAGCCAGAGTTCTTTCCGTGAAGCATTTTGGGATCATGCTGTCGTTTGAAAAAAGAGACAAACAATGTGATGAGTTCTGGTCTCCCAGTGTTTCACAAATCGAACATTGCTGCATCGCAGTCTGCGTGTTTCGATTGAGGGGAAGTTATTGCATGCATTTTAGAAGGAACAAGCACTTGCACAAGTGGAACTGGGATACTCCCCAAGCATAAACCAATCCATCCTGAAAAGGCTAAGGCATGAGATCTTGAAATCTCCAATCTTGGGCCCGGAGGACTTTTCCCCATGTTCAAACAGGAAAAAACAAAACAGGGACTCGGTTGACGGTTGCCTGGGCTGCATGCCAAGCCGCCGTGAGCTTGCCAGTCTCCCAGCTCCGATTCAGTGCCCACCAGCCGCTGGGCCGGTCGTCCCGCATGCCGTCCACTAAATTCTCGGGCACCTCCCGCTGAATGCTTTCTAGAAATTCTAGTGCTGTTTTGGTTGATCCCCATACACTCGAATCCGAATGCAAAGCGTTCATGTCAGGTCCATTGCCCTGGCCTCGTTGCCAAAGCCGAGATAGCCTGGAGGCACTTTCCCGAAACACTGAACACCCGGACAAACTCCGCGAGCCGTGCGGTTTTTAAAATGCTCATCGAAACCCCTTTCACTCCCAGAGCTGCAGCTTGCCCGTTTGACTGGCTGTAAGATGCCAAGGAACCCAGGAACATGATCGGCAGGAACAGGCACAAGGCCTCGGACTTCTGCTGCATTGCGATGGGGGAGTCACTGGCGAACATTGAGGGTAGGGGACGGCCATCGTTGACCTTGTTTGGGCTCAACCATTTCGCCCGTGAAACTCTTAAGCTGCGCAAAGCAAACAAAACTGAGGGTTTATCAGGCAACTTCAGTCGACTGTCCAGTGACTGAATATTTGCTACGGCGCCTATGTTGTCGAGTGGGCCGGCCCAAGAGGGCTGCCTCAAGCGCCTTGCTGTCTGCGAGGTTTTTGGGCCTCCATTCTGATGGCACTCGAGACCTAGTGCAGGCGGGTGGCCAGGATGTATGCCTGAGTCAAGGCGGTACCACACCTCACCCCAAAGCTACTTGAGGCACTGTGCTGTGGAACATGGCGCTATCTTCCTGTTCGAACTAGGTGATACTCAAAACCTGGAGTTTAAGGGTCTTCCCAGAACCCAAAAGCGGCCGCATTTGTTGTTAGTTGCGACTGTCCGTTGCCGGCATTCACTTCCCTGGGTTTGCGTCGGGCCTCGCGTTGCACGTTTGAACCACATCAGCTCCACATGCCCTACGAGTGTGAGTTCCAATCCTCCGGATCCGATTCACACCAGGCCACTATCCCGAGCGCAACTTGCTACCGTGTCGCGTGATACTAACTCTGTCATTCTGGTATGCGAGGCTTAGAAAGGCCACATGGTGAAACTGATTATCTTACTCAAGCCATAAGTTGCTGACACAGCAATTCAGTGCAGTCCACATGTGTCTAAGTGCGCAAAAGAGGAGCACTGCGCAAACAAACATGAACACGTTGGCAAAGAAATGTGCGCCGTGCGCTCGCGAAAACACAAGCCAGCGAAAGCAAGGCCGAAAGGCAAGACAGTTCCAAGGGCTCCGGAGACGGCTTACCAGGCAGGCCGCCCAACTGATATCAAGCCGAGGCGCGAAGATGGCCGCTGGAGCAGTCCTCAGCGAAACGAAAAAAATGGGCATGTGGAGATGCATTACGAGCCTTGCATATCATCAGCTCATTCAACTAAACAATTCCACTCTGTGTGTGCTCTGGTTTACTGCTGTTCCACCGTGCCAACGCCGGCAAGCATAGCCAACAACTAGTGAGCAAGTTGCCAAGGAAAGTGGAAAGAGTCCGCGCGCTGCATGCATTGTGAACAGGGCAAACATGGGTGATAAATGCCTTATTTTTGTCGTCGATCCTCCTGTTCCCTATTGCCGCACCGGTATTTGGTCTTTGTCCCGTATTTATTGAATGGCCCACACAAAAGCCAAGCAAATTCAGCATTGACTCCACTTTGGTTGGGTGTCCTTAGCGGACTGCGCTACCGGCCCCGCAGCACTTAGGGCTGTGCCTCTGAGCACCAACCCAGCCGAGGGTTACATGTTTCTTGAATGGAACAGGAAAAGGGACCTACTCTGCAAAATGCAAGTACACTCCATCATTAACCCTAAACCCTAAGCCCTTAAGAATCCCTCAACCATGGGTGGAGGGCGGTCGTCTGTCGCTGAACTCCAGGGCTTGAGAGGGCTGCGTCGTTGTACTTCAGCGCAAATGGCGACTTGGATGATCCCTATCTGAAGAACATTGGATGCATGTGAAAGGGGTTCGACTTGCCATTTGAACGCTGCTGAAGCTCTTCTTTGGATTCTTCATCTGATTGCGCAGAGTCGGCACTGTGACGATCACCGCAAAGTTGTAGAAGCCTTGCAGGCACGTTAAAATCAGAAACTTCGCAATCTACTAATATGCTCTGCCGCGCAATACAAGGCAAATGCGACCAGCAAGCGGAAGCAATTCCGTAAGGCTCTCATCGCGAAAAGTGGGCCAAGCTCTCATTCCTTTGGGCCTGGCATCAGCATACTATATGCCCCATGGTCAAAACTCAGTGTAGGCGTCATTTATGATCCTTCTAAGGGTGTCTAAATGCCCTCTAAAGGAGCTCGTGACAGTCCCTAACCGCAAAAACAGGTTTTCATCCATGACACATCTTGGCCCACCGATGTCGCAAACAAAACCATCACATTGGAAGCTCTGCCAGTTCTACGAAGTTGAGCTCCTTGACCGATGAGGACCATCCGAAAACGGACCCAAGAGCTCCCTGTTCGCCCATGCACTTGACTGCGGGAACTGTCAACCTTAAATTCGACACTGCGCGCAAGTTCTGAGGCCAAAGCCATAAGATCCCACTTTGGCAAGCTCCAACACCATTGCCACCTTACCGCTAGGGGATCCCCCCAGCGCACACGCAGCGCATGCGCAGTGCGCCGAGCATAAACGTGGGGTCAAGGACGGTGCTTTGCCTGCAAACAAAAAACAAACCCTCGTTGATAGTTGTTGGCTTGCCTCTTCTGAAACAAAAGTATTGCGCCAACTCGGTGAACAAACAACAACATCAAAGACCTCTCCCCCTTAACCCGGCCCACACGTCGTACATGGAGTTGCACCTGTGTGAAACAGTGAATGAAACAGAGGGTGGTCGGATGAGTACTCTCAACTTTAGACTAAGGTGAGCTCGCGCTAGCTTGCCCTCAATCCGCGGGTTTTGAGACCCGAGCTAGCCTTTGTATCAAAACGTATGCTACACAGAAAGCAACTCACCTGCTCTTGGGACATAGTTTTGCAGGCGATTTTGTGGGACATCAGTGCCTCGAACCAGTGCTGACCTGGCAAGTCACTGAGAAGAACTCGGAAGGGGCGGGCAATAGCTTGTGGCTGCCCCTGCGTCACAAATGTCTGTCCCCGGCTGAACACATCTATCAACCTTTGCTTGTACTTCATGAAAGCTCGCAAGGGAATCCAAATATCCTGTCTCTATATTCCTGTGCGTGAATACCTGCGTACGTGTGTGTGTGTGTGTTGGTGTGTTTGTGTGTTTGTGTGTTTGTGTGTTTGTGTGTTTGTGTGTTTGTGTGTTTGTGTGTGTGTGTGTGTGTGTGTGTGGGTGCGCGTGTGCGTGTGCGTGTGCGTGTGCGTGTGCGTGTGCGTGTGCGTGTGCGTGTGCGTGTGCGTGTGCGTGTGCGTGTGCGTGTGCGTGTGCGTGTGCGTGTGCGTGTGCGTGTGCGTGTGCGTGTGCGTGTGCGTGTGCGTGTGCGTGTGCGTGTGCGTGTGCGTGTGCGTGTGCGTGTGCGTGTGCGTGTGCGTGTGCGTGTGCGTGTGCGTGTGCGTGCGTGTGCGTGTGCGTGTGCGTGTGCGTGTGCGTGTGCGTGTGCGTGTGCGTGTGCGTGTGCGTGTGCGTGTGCGTGTGCGTGTGCGTGTGCGTGTGCGTGTGCGTGTGCGTGTGCGTGTGCGTGTGCGTGTGCGTGTGCGTGTGCGTGTGCGTGTGCGTGTGCGTGTGCGTGTGCGTGTGCGTGTGCGTGTGCGTGTGCGTGTGCGTGTGCGTGTGCGTGTGCGTGTGCGTGTGCGTGTGCGTGTGCGTGTGCGTGTGCGTGTGCGTGTGCGTGTGCGTGTGCGTGTGTGTGTGTGTGTGTGTGTGTGTGTGTGTGTGTGTGTGTGTGTGTGTGTGTGTGTGTGTGTGTGTGTGTGTGTGTGTGTGTGTGTGTGCGTGTGCAGTCTATGCCATATATGTATAACAATAACAACAATAATAACAATAACAATAATGGAAAATAATAAATTAATAAATTAATAAATAAGTCAATAAATAAATGAATGAATTAACACATAAATAAACAAATACATATGTAATAACCAAATATAGAAATAAATACATGAATACACAAATAATAGCAATAATACAAATAATAATAATGATAGCACATATACAAATGATAATAATGATAATAATAAGACCAATACTAATAATGATAATAATAATAATGATGATAAAAATACAAATTATTAATAATAATAATACTAATAATAATACTAATAATAATAAGAATAATAATAATAGCAATAATAATATTACCAACAATAAAAAAGATAATAATGATAATAATGATAATACTAATAGCAAATCTACTGATAATAATGACAATAGTAATCATAATAATAATAATAATAATAATAATAATGACAAGCATCATAATATAAACAACACTTTAATAATATACATTATATGTAAACTATATTAGTGCATACACATTGTGCACACATGTGCCTAGAGCCCACATGAAATGAGCACTACGTTGTAGCTGCAACAACTTTAAGAACACCTCCTTTAACTGGAATCGCTGCCAAGTTATGAACTCATCGGCTGCCATCATCCTGCGGAATCTCAATTAATTAGTCGTATCCGTGCACACTGCTTCTGCTGTGGCAAGCAGGTGTCTAGACGGTCTTCACTGCCCCATATGGCCCCCGGTCTCCTGCAAACCTCAGGCATGGCGGTGGAGGCTGCCACCGACATGCCCACTCCCATCCAGGCCAGGATGATCTAGGCTGGCTGGCAAGTGGACTCGTGGGAACTGTCAGGCAGATTGCTGTCAACGAGCTGAACACATGCAAGGAAAGCTGGCCCTAGTTGGCGGTCGGAAAGGCAGTGCGGGTTGGTTGTGGGTTCTTGGTGTCATTTCAAGAATGGTCGCCAAGTACAACATTCTGGGACCCCACAGCTCCCGGTATCGACAAAGCACCGATGCAAACTGAAAGCTGGGCTGAGGGTCGAACCGTCAGAATGCATACAATGGGGCCCAGGAATGCCGCCCGCTTCATGAGGATGCCTGGCCGCTGATGTCTTGCCAATTGTGCGAGTGATTGCAAAAAAAAACAATCCTTTGGATAACAACCAGCGACAAGATTTCAGAGGGCCGTTTAGCTCGAGTTTCCAGCTCTGCATTCCATTAATGGCACGGGGCCTTGGGGAAAGATTGGAAAATCAGACCTGCAAGTCCGCCGCAAAACTATACTTCAAGGAATACCGTAGCTGTTGTGCGCGAACGTCTCAGCCCCACTGTTGTGGTTGAGCAGGCAGGCTGAGCTGCCAGTGCAAAAGTGCGTCCCTGCCTGGGTTGCCGAAGACATAAGCCAGGCCAATCGGAGTCAAGAACACCGCCCACCACTTGTGGCCACACGCATTGCACCCGAACCTCAGGATGGCAGCTGAGCTGCTTGGCAATGTGGCCATTCTATCTCAAGTACAGTAGGGCACCGATTCATAGATTTGAATGAACATCGGAAATCGACAAATTTCAGTGCTCACAGTTCCCAGCAGTCTTTTGTGAGTAAACTCGAAGGCTGTCAATCTCTGCCGCTTGGATACTGAGCCTGGAAGCCGTGAAGCAACATCTCCCGCCCTCCGTCCAGTGACCCAGGGCTCCACGCCAAGACCAATGGACAGGCAACAAAAAGTTGAAGTTCTGTGCCTCCAGCACCAATGTGGTGCACATCCTCATCCATGGGCCGAGAAAAAAAATAAACGCCCTGAAAGCAATGCAGTCGTTTCTCTTTCGGCGTTTGTGTGATCTCGAACTGACCATAGCATAGTGACCCAAGGGATTGTCATTGTCTGCCATCTGAAGACTCACGCTTCTTGTTTGTCTGTTTCTGGTTCTTCTTATTTGTCTTCTTCTTCTTCGTCTTCTTCGTAGTCTTCTTCCACAAGTTCCGGTCGAAGCAGACTTGCCCCAGCCAAAGTCAGAGCAGGTTGCCAGGGTGTGGACTTGGCCGCCATCCTCTAAGGCAAGGACAAAGGCCGGGCAGCAGTGCAACAAGGGATTTGCATACGAGCTTGCTTCTGGGGACCCTTTGGTGGACATCACATGATCTGAGTCTCATGTGCACCAACCTTTGAGTGTCCCCAGTCAAGTTCATACCAGGTTGTGAAGGTAGAGCAATAATCAAGGTGTCTAGACGTGCACAGGGAAATGAGTGGAGTGTACTGTCGTCCAAACGGACGAATGGGTCCAACCCAAGCACTTGCAGCCGCGCAGCATACCCAGCAATGCCAGCCTTGCCACGGGCAGCTTGACTTGAAAAACCACAGAAAACAAGCTTGTGGAATCTGACGCTCTCTCAAAGCATGAGGATATGGTCTCCGCATCAGGATGGCTGGCTTTGCCCTCCGGCCAGGTTGCCAGCAACCCCCAGTCTTGGGTCAAATCTTCACAAATCTGAGGCGAGGCACATGCTGGTCGCCGAGGAAATGCGCTTCCCCCAAATACCGAGAGCGCCCCTGACAAAATCAGGGTACCTCAGCGCAGGCTTTGTCGGACAGGGCACTTTAAGTGAAAGTTGTGCAAGTGTCTTTCCTAGCTGTACAATAACAACCGTTTGCAGCACCTTCCAGGTTGCCTGCGTGCAGTTTCAGCGGCAAAGCCAAGAAATTATGTCGTTTCATGTTGCAGTACGCATCTGAGCAAAAGCAGTTCCTGTACTGGATGACGTTGTGAAAACCCTTCCGCAAAAAAAAAACACTAAACACTTCTTTTGGGGAGAAAGCGCGCCGACAAGAAACCTGCAAGACCGTGCTTTTGATTGCATTAATGTCAAATGGAGGACCTTCTCAAGCTGATGATGTCTTCCTCCACAATGCAGCAAACAGATCTGTCTCTGGCATGCCAAGCGTGGGCCATGTTGGTTCAAACCACTGCGCTTCCTCGAATCTGCCACGAAGGGTTCGTTTTCATGTAATCTTCTCCAGTCCTTGTTCTTTCTTTCATCAAGCTGATGTGGCGTGAATGAGGAGCAGCCTTCCAGGGGCTGTCCCAAATCTCCCACAGCGTCTCAATTTCGACCAGCCGCGCAAGCACCGTGATCCCCTTCTGGGCTTGCAGCTTGTCGATAGTTGCGGTCACCAACCTGGAAGCATTCATCTTGGGAACTTCGGATCACCTCCATTGAACTTCAAGCCGATCGAAAAGATTCCCTGTGTTTCTTGAAGTAATTAAGAATTGATTGGAGACGGGCTTGAAATTGAGCCACCCCCACCCCCCACCCCCCAGCCAAAAAAAGCGATGACATCTCATCCTTATCGCATTGGCATGCGATGTGTCAAGACCACCTCCCCGTAGCAAGCCTAGCATGAACCACAACAACCGACTCTCTCACGAAGACGATCCCTTGAAATGCGTGGTGTCGTTCTGCCATTTGCCCCAATATGCTGCTTGCGTTTAGCGGCATGCTTGCGAGACTTGCGCTGCCAACCTCCCGAGTTTTGCCACGCTTGAAAACAAACGAGGCGGACAGGCCCCAACAAAAAGTTACGCATCAACTCCAAGTCGCAAATGAATACACGGTGGCTCTGTTCCATCAATGTCTGGGGGTCAAGAAGCACTTTTTGGAGTTGCCAGTCCTGGTGTTCTCGCTGACAATGATGCAGCCAGCAACGACCTGGGAAAGAACGCACAAACCAGTCTGCAAGGTGTCAGCCCAACCCTGTGTTGTCTGGCAATCTAATTTTCCGTTGAAACTGGTCTCACAAATGCAGCCTTGGGCCAATGAATCCCTGAGCAGTGCGGTTTAGAGTGGGCTACATATTCCTCAAAGGATTTCGCTGGTATTATTGCCCAAAGGAGAGCCAAACATGCTGAGTGCTATGAATTGCAAACTTCGAAGCCGAGGCTGACATCTCCCCAACATATTTCGTGCGCGTGAGGTGCTTGAAGCCGTCTCCCTGCCTGGGGCCCCGCACACTGATGGGCGGCAGTATCCAGCCCAAGCGTGGCATCTGGGAGGCCAGGCCCAAAACGGTGGAGCCCACAATGGAGAGCACCTGGGTGTCAACACTGGGATTTGGACCCCAACGGCTTCCTTTTGGTTTGCCAAACTGAGGTTTCCATGCTGTGAGTGCCCGTGCTGCATTGGCTTCCCATAATATTATGAACAATGTTGGCTGCAAAACTTGCATCTTCATCATGCCAGCAGAGAAGCCGTCGGCACTCCTCAATTGAATCATTCTCAACCAATAACAAGTTGGAAAATGGCACTTGCCCAACAAAGCCAGTCTGATCATTGAAGTAGTGTGAGCCTGTCTTGAGCGGCAATGTCTTCTTTACGGTATGACACGCGTCTGTTCGACCCGGCATTTGGTCTGTTCGACCCGGCATTGATCTGTCTGCAACCAAGCTTCGAAGTTGCTGATGAGGCCCTTGGCGCTCAACTTATGTTCTCTCCTGCCCTCACGATGCCCGCTGGACCTCAGATACCCGGTGTGCCGCAGAGTGGCGGGGGTACGTGAACGTGAGGCACGAGGATGGAGTTGTTGACAGGATTTCTGCACCACAAACTCCGGCATCCAGCTGGAAAGCTACATCAGGGTTCCATAAAGGGTACATCCAAAAAACGACCTGGCAAGGGCCCAAATTCTGCCAACATGGCAATAAAGGTTTACAGTATATAGGCCTTACCACAAGCTTCATGAAACCAGGCAGCAGAACCAGTCTATCTGGACATCGGAGCAAACCACCTACTAAATGGGCAAAGGGGCGTTTAGGCGTGCGCACCTGCTTTATGAGGAGGTCCCTCTGAAGTAGCAATTAAACGTGATTTGTTAATCGGCTCGCATGCAGTATCCTTGAAGGGAAATTGTGCATTGCATGCCAATTGAGAATTGCACTCGTGCTGCCTCAATGTAAACAGACCTTGCAATCTCCCACTTGAGCGTAGCTATGCTTCTGCGATAGAGTTTGTGGCTGGCGCGCGCATAGCGAGCCTAGCGAGCCTAGCGAGCCTAGCGAGCCCAGCAAGCCTAGCGAGCCTAGCGCTGTTTTTTTGCGTGACTACTCTCTGCACATAGCCTGTTAGCGTGCAGAACAATAGCGAGTTTATCTTGCAAGTCGTAGCCGCGGCTGATTACTGGGTTACAAGCTGTAGGCATGTTCGAGTAATGGCCATTTTCGGCGTGCGTGCTGCGCTCAAACAACTGTGTTGAGTTCTCAACAGCATGGTCACCGCAACACGACCCCTGGATCCCACATGCAGTGTCCAATCGAACGGACAGTCGCAGCCGAGAAACTCCTTGAAGCCTTCGCCCATCTCTTCCTCTATCTCGTGCTCATCATCAGCACCAAGGACGCCCCCCAGGATGCTGGCTTGGTAAGCCTCGCCTATCCTGAGTGTCACGCATCACCTTCACCTCACTGCGTTGCAGGGTGTATGATTGACCATCCTTGCATAGCACAAGTCATTCATGGTAGCTGAAAGAATCAGCAGTTTCATCCGGTCAAACATGAGCGACTGGCGCCTCAGCCCGAGGAAAACCATTTTGGCAGGCTGCTGTTCGGCATCCTCACGCAGAAGCTCCTGCACACAGCCGCATCGCAAGGCACCAAGATTTGTAAGGGGTCCAGTGGTTCTGGCAACACCTAGTGTCACCCCAGTGTTTCTTGTCAGATACGCTGACAAATTCGCCTAACGACATGCCAAAGCTCTCAACATCGCGCGCCTCCCATCCACCCTCCCAAAGACCAGCAAAGTCCAGGTCCCAGTCCACGTCGTCCACGTCTGGCGACGGCGTTACACTAAAAGTGACATGGAACCTGAGCATTCCTTTGGCCCATCCTACAGCCTTCCCCTGACCGTTGCAGGTCAGGCTCTCAACGCTGCCAGGTAGGGCTCTCTTTCTTTCTCTCTCTCTCTCTCGATTTCTCTCTGTCTCTCTCTGTCTCTCCCTCCCCTCCTCTGTCTCTCTGTAAGGACTCGGCCTGAACGTGCAGGTGAACTGGGCGGTGTTGAAGAAGCAGTGGCAGCATCTGCGCACCCGCAGAATGATCTAATCTAAAAGTGCAGTCAGCATGGCAACCCCGAAGGCCGAGGACCACTTGCTGCGTGCCTTCGTGCCGGAGAGCTGTCATACGTTCATCTTGAATCCCTAGGTTGTTGTCGGACATTTAGTAAGTCCCCCATGTCCCTTTCAAATGGACCAAACACTACTGGATATGTTGATTGAAGAGCAAAACATGGGTTTATGGACCTTTGCTTTGGCACTTGACCAATGGGCCCACACACTCTGCCACGTCATGCAGGATTGGGGGGGCATTGCCGGCGTCTCTGCCTGCATGCACCGCGCCCAGCACTTGTGGCGAGCTGCCATGCAGGGCCATGGCACAGACGGGCGGCAAAGAGTGCCGACTTCAGCGTGTGCTTTGGGTGCTCAAACCATTTCCCGCTGTGGCTTTCCCCAACGGCACGGGGAAACTCAGGAAAACTCGTCTGGGGTCCCGCGCAATGCGAGAGCTGCCGTTCTCTGAACACTAGGCCAATGTGAGTCTTCGAGGGGCCCAAGTGGGAGTCCTTTCAGGATCTGCCGCAGCTTTTGGGCCAGTGCCGCAGGTTAAGCATTCAGGCAGCCAAGCAGCTAATACGATGTTAGCCAAGTAAACACGAGCAACCCGCACAGCAACACTCTGTGCATCTAGTAGCGCCAAAGAAGTCCTGGCAATCAACCTAACTTGCCTAAGCTTAACACACATTGTCGTCGCTGATTCAAAAGCGGGAATGTTTGGACACAGGGCCAAAGCGAGTTGGCCAAAATCAAGAGCTAGTTCTGGCGCAATGCTTAACCTTGAGCACGAGCCCTGCTTATTATCAGCGACAGGCAATGGTCAGCGTCCATGATATTTAGTCACCCTGCAGGGAAGGCATTCAGGCGTTCAGGGTTGAGGACTCAAAAAGAAACACCAGACGGTTCACACGCGCTACCTGCAGAAAGCACTTCAAGCCTTGCCAGGTCGGAGATCGGCGCAACCTCACCGGACTCCTTGGAGGTCTTCAGGCTCTGCGCTTGTCTTTTGCCATCCAAAACTGGCAGCACCTGCGCCGCAAATCAGCAAAGTGAGGCTCAGCAACTCTTCCGGTCAAAGGGCAATGGAGGTCTTGCCCTCTCCACTGGTCACGTGGGATGAGAGCCACGCGACCCAGCAATCCACCAGACCGCGCCTGCAAAGGGATCAGCCTTCTTCTTTAGCAACGTGTGGTGATCCCTCTGAGCCGTTTGGCTGGAAGCGAGCCAAACATAGAAAACTGCCATGGTACACCTCAATCGTCCCTGGGTCGCACGGGCAGAAGCCAATGCAAGGCCCTCATCAGAATGCGAACTCATCTCCGTCAAAAGGCGCCAACTTCCGCTTCAAGCCGTTCGTTCATTGTAGATTTAGATGTGAAAACAGGGCAATTGCGCAACCTTCCCAGCCAAGCTAACAAAGCAAATGTCAAACTGCATGCTTGCCTCAATGCACTCTTGCTTCCAAATGCCGCTGACTACTGCACTGCAGCCACTACCCAAATGGATACATTCTGCAACGCAAAGCCTGGAAGCCAAAAGCCAACTGTCGCAGCGACTCCGAAAGCTTGATTTGCCGCGGTGGACAAGCATGGCTCTTGTTGGCCACACATGCAAGATGCTCCTGCTTGCTGGCTCCTGAAACCAGGCAGTAGAAGCAGTTCCCTTTGCCTTTTGGAAAGGGAGTGCTGTTCATGCACATTGGAAGGGTTGCTTGGCTTGAACAAACGAGCAGAAAAGCCTGGCGCAACCCTTCGCCCTGGTATGTTTGCTAGGGATAAACCGCTCCATGGCCATGTTCCCTCCATTGTTGGGGCGTAACGTCAACGCTATGCCTCCGCTGAACCATGCAGCTGCTGCAGTCCTTGCACAGCAAATTTGGCAAAGAAATGAAACAGCTACTCCATATTAATACAAGTAAGGTCCGGCAGAGCCGGGGGGCGGAAGTTTCAAAGCAGTGAACAACTATAGTTTGGAGAACTGTCCTTGGCCCCTTGCTTCTCTCTCTCTCTCTCTCTTTTTCTCTCTTTCTCTCTTTCTCTCTTTCTCTCTTTCTCTTTCTCTTTCTGTTTCTCTGTCTCTTTCTCTCTCTTTCTATCTATCTCTCTAGCTATCTCTATATCTGTTTATTGATCTATCTATCTACCCATCTTTCTCTGCACTTAAAAGTTGCGATGTTCAATCCCCGAAAGTTGACTTCGCGTACTACTTTCGTACTTAAAAGTTGCGATTTTCGAGCCCCAGCTGCGAAACTGGACTTCACGTACTACTTTCGTAATTAAAAGTTGCGATTTTCGAGCCCCAGCTACGAAAGTGGACTTCGCGTACTACTTTCGTACTAAAAAGTCGCGATTTTCGAGCCCCAGCTGCGAAAGTGGACTTTGCGTACTACTTTCGTACTTAAAAGTTGCGATTTTCAAGCCCCGGCTGCACTACTTTCGTACTTAAAAGTTGCGATTTTCAAGCCCCAGCTGCGAAAGTTGACTTCGCGTACTACTTTCGTACTTAAAAGTTGCGATTTATCTATAGATCTACCTATCTATCTACCTCTCTATCTCCTATCTATCTATCTACCTCTCTATTTATTTATCTCTCTATCTCTTTATCTATCTAGCTAGTTATTTGTCTATCTATCTACAAATCTATCTATCTCTGTCTATCTCTGTTTCTCTATCTCTTTCTATCTATTTCTCTAGCTATCTCTATATCTGTTTATTGATCTATCTATCTACCCATCTTTCTCTGCACTTAAAAGTTGCGATGTTCAATCCCCGAAAGTTGACTTCGCGTACTACTTTCGTACTTAAAAGTTGCGATTTTCGAGCCCCAGCTGCGAAACTGGACTTCACGTACTACTTTCGTAGTTAAAAGTTGCGATTTTCGAGCCCCAGCTACGAAAGTGGACTTCGCGTACTACTTTCGTACTAAAAAGTCGCGATTTTCGAGCCCCAGCTTTGCGAAAGTTGCGACTTTGCGTACTACTTTCGTACTTAAAAGTTGCGATTTTCAAGCCCCAGCTGCGAAAGTTGACTTCGCGTACTACTTTCGTACTTAAAAGTTGCGATTTATCTATAGATCTACCTATCTATCTACCTCTCTATCTCCTATCTATCTATCTACCTCTCTATTTATTTATCTCTCTATCTCTTTATCTATCTAGCTAGTTATTTGTCTATCTATCTACAAATCTATCTATCTCTGTCTATCTCTGTTTCTCTATCTCTTTCTATCTATTTCTCTAGCTATCTCTATATCTGTTTATTGATCTATCTATCTACCCATCTTTCTCTGCACTTAAAAGTTGCGATGTTCAATCCCCGAAAGTTGACTTCGCGTACTACTTTCGTACTTAAAAGTTGCGATTTTCGAGCCCCAGCTGCGAAACTGGACTTCACGTACTACTTTCGTAGTTAAAAGTTGCGATTTTCGAGATCGAGCTAGGAAAGTGGACTTCGCGTACTACTTTCGTACTAAAAAGTCGCGATTTTCGAGCCCCAGCTGCGAAAGTGGACTTTGCGTACTACTTTCGTACTTAAAAGTTGCGATTTTCAAGCCCCGGCTGCGAAAGTGGACTTTGCGCACTACTTTCGTACTTAAAAGTTGCGATTTTCAAGCCCCAGCTGCGAAAGTTGACTTCGCGTACTACTTTCGTACTTAAAAGTTGCGATTTTCGAGCCCCGGCTGCGAAAGTTGACCTTGCAAAAATGCTGCGCCTGCCACCAAATCTGTGCTTGACCTTGCTAAAGTGCTGCGCCTGCCACAAAATCTGTACTTGACCTTGCGAAAGTGCTGCGCGTGCCACGAATTTTGCACTTGACCTTGCGAAAGTGCTGCACCTGCCACAAATTCTGTACTTGACCTTGCGAAAGTGATGCGCCTGCCACGAATTTTGTACTTGACCTTGCGAAAGTGCTGCGCCTGCCACGAAATCTATACTTGACCTTGCGAAAGTGCTGCGCCTGCCACGCAATTCAAACCTTGCGAAACCTTCGCGCGGCCGTGCCAATGGGCCCGTCTCCGAGACCGTTCCGAACCCGTTCCGAGACCGTTCCGAGACCGCCTCCGTACAGGCGTCGCAGCCGAGGTGGTTTGCGCACTGTCCGGAAGCCCAATTCACGCACAGCGCCAACGTTTTCTGCATCTTGCCATCCCCCAGCTCGCAGAGAGTGCTTGCGAAAGTGCTGCGCCTGCCACGAAATATACTTGACCTTGCGAAAGTGCTGCGCCTGCCACGAAATCTACACTTGACCTTGCGAAAGTGCTGCGCCTGCCACGCAATTCAAACCTTGCGAAACCTTCGCGCGGCCGTGCCAATGGTCCCGTCTCCGAGACCGTTCCGAACCCGTTCCGCACCCGCCTCCGTACAGGCGTCGCAGCCGAGGTGGTTTGCGCACTGTCCGGAAGCCCAATTCACGCACAGCGCCAACGTTTTCTGCATCTTGCCATCCCCCAGCTCGCAGAGAGTGCTTGCGAAAGTGCTGCGCCTGCCACGAAATCTATACTTGACCTTGCGAAAGTGCTGCGCCTGTCACGAAATCTACACTTGACCTTGCGAAAGTGCTGCGCCTGCCACGCAAACCTTGCAAAACCCGTTCCGAGACCGTTCCGATCCGTACAGGCGTCGCAGCCGAGGTGGTTTGCGCACTGTCCGGAAGCCCAATTCACGCACAGCGCCAACGTTTTCTGCATCTTGCCATCCCCCAGCTCGCAGAGAGTGCTTGCGAAAGTGCTGCGCCTGCCACGAAATCGATACTTGAGAAAGCTATCTATGTGTTAAGCTGGCTATATGTCAAAGCTATCTATCTGTCATGCTAGCCTATTGGAAAGCTATCTATCTGTCAAGCTAGCTATATGTCAAAGCTATCTATTTGTCATGCTAGCTACCTGTCATAGCTATATGTCAAAGCAGCTAGCTCACTTAGTTCCAGTACTACGGAAGTTTCTTGTTAAACTTCCTTTGACTAACTGTTTGGTTCTCAAGCCGACCCGCTCAAGATGCGAGATGCTCACTGGAGAAGTATAGCTGTAAGCCTCAGGTTCGGAGAAAGGAGGAGTTGACACCTGACTGAGGTGCAGAGACGCTGGATTTAGACAAGCTCAAAAGTGCACCTTCAGCCAAACATGCACGCAACATATGACGGTTCAAGTCCGGCATTGCTTCCTGTGCAAATATTAGCCCGCCCTGCAAACAACTTAACACGTGGGTTTTGTCCGTTTAACACGTTGGCAAGGCCATGGGAAAATTCGTCGCAGCCACTTGCAGCTCAGCCGCCAGAATCCCAATACAATCCATGCAGAACCTGACGGAAACTGCTCATTCCGGGTGAGTTGTTCATGTCCGGGGCGGAAGCAAATCTGCCTCCCGTTGACAAGCTTTTGTCAGAGGAATGACAGCATACTTACAAAGCATGTGAGACATAAAAGAACGGGCCAACTGTAAATGTAAGTGCGACCCGTCTTTCAAGGTCCCAGAATAAAACCCGCTTCGGGTGCCTCTTGACCATAAACTTCACTCCAGAAAGCATGCTGCAAACATGGCCACGCCTAGAGTCGCATGCTTGGCTCTAACTTGCAATCCAACTGCCTCTGCAGCGACCCCCAATAGATCCTATTGGATCTGATGAGTCTGCTTGTTGCTGCTTGATTCTGCTTGTAGGGAGGGGCCAAAGGCCCGCGAATGGTTCTTAGAACAAGGGCTTCTTGGGAATGTGCCGGAGAACAGTTCTGGAGGGCAGTAGGAGGATCCTAATCTCAAATCTTTCGCCTGAGCTTGAAGCAAACACAAACAACAAACAAACGAACAAACAAACAAACAACCGAAACAAGCAAACACACTTGCCCTTCCGCCTGCCCATCTGCCCGCCCACACACGTGCACGTGCGCACCCGGCAGCATTGGTGATTTGATGAGTTTTCACCAGCTTGCATATGTTTGTGCTTCTTGCAGGAAGCCTTTGGTCCGAGGTATCCTGCTGGGATCCCGCGCGGGCGCCCCCCAAATGGTTCATACCAAAAAGCCAGTCCATGAGCAATCATAGCGATGATCTCGCTGGGTTTTGCGTGTACCCAAATGCAGCGGTTCAAGAAACACGTTGATTTGTAGAAAACAAGGCCTTCTGCAGTCTTCTCTGACCAGCGGGATGAGACGTGCACTGCATGTTGATCCATGCCATATCCCGTCGCGCCTTTGTAGGCACAAGCCTCGAATTCCCGAGCCCCGAAGGCCTGGCATGGTTCCCAGTGCAAACCAGCCCTGGCAGCTTGGCTGTGTTCTGTACCTGTTGGCATCCCTTAAAAATCAAGCAAAACGTTTGGACCAAAACGGGGTTCCCAAAAACGGCACGCTCGTTTTAGGTCCCTTCGAGCCGCAGCCCTGTTTCTTGACATGAGCTGGGGTGGCGTGGACCAAGTCCTGACGAGCAATGCCCGGTCCACAACTGAGATGCGCGCCAACTACCAACAGCTGTCAACAGAGAGAGTAAAATGGGAATCCAAACGTGTGGTTTTTCTGATGCGACATACTTGTCTCCTGCCCCACCCCATTGTCTCGGTCAAAATCTGTGCCTGGTGCGAAGCTGCCTGGAAGGAGCCTCGCTGCCAAGGTAGCAGGACCAACACGGCGGGTTCGAACAGAGTTGCGTTCTCACTCTGACCCTTGCAAGGCGGTTGTAGCGCAACAAATAAAACAACTCAGAATCTATCACGAGTCATCTGTAGCATCGTGCCTTGTTAGTGAAAGAATCAGAGTCGCATTGTTGATAGAGCACAATAATTGAATGGCTCTCTCTCTCTCTCTCTGTGTGTGTGTGTGTCAAAACTGGTGACTCCTTTTAGGATGGTTTTAACAGGGGGACCAACATGACATGACCGTTCAAATGACCTGCCCCTCCGCCCTGATGGCCGGCCCCCCCGAACAAGAAGAAGAACGCCGCCTCATAACACAATTATGCTGCACTGTGACACTGTGCAAGGCATGCCATATTATTTGGTTCTGTGCAGATAGTTCCGATTTTATCAGTGCCAACAACTCGTGTAAAAATCGGTCCTATGAGTTTCCGTGTACGGCCCTTTCACGATACTTTCGCAAGCACATGTTTTGATTCGCGGGCTTCGTTTCCTTTAGAATTGATTTCGCAAAGCCTTGGGGGCGGACTGTGCAAAACGCGGTACGCTTTCGCATGCACATTCGCGATAAGCTTTCGCAAGCCTTCGCGGCCTGCGTCCCCCACTCTGCCACTGTTCGGATAGGAAATATTAGGAAATGCCTCAGGCCTCTGTTTTGAGCAGCTCGTCCAAAGCATCGCAAAGAGTGTCTCAAACCCTCGCGTGTCGACTTAGAGTTTAAATGATAGAGCAACACAGAAGCTAGAGTTCAGCAAGCAGCCATTGCTTAGTTGGCTGCTTTTTGGGCCTGCATAATCTCATCATATCTCGTCTACCTGTGAATGGTAAAACGCTATGTCAATGTGGCTGCGTAAGCTCCCAGCGTTGGGCTGGCTGGACCGACTCATCGTTCATAGCGGGCCTCGGCTTCTGACTAGCTTCTAACCAGCAGCTTCAGAAGCTGCTATTCAAGCAAGGTTTGAGTGTGGAGTTCAAGCTTGGCCAAAATCATCCATGCTCAAAGAGACAGTTGCGGTCTGCTCTTGATAGAGTCAACCTGATCGAGACAAGGCACCCAGTCTCCGCCTTGGCGGTTCCATGCATGCTCTTGACGAAGCGCCTGCGAGTGTCAACAGCATGGTATATATGCAAAACATTGCTGAAACTCGACATCATTTCTATCGGGACTCGCCTGCGTTGCCATACAGGGAAAGCTGTTGCCCAGCGCCAACTGAAGACTTGACTTTGAAACTCTGAGTCGTGGAGTTGGCAAAGCCAGTCTGCGACAGCCGTGTTCTGCGCTGAACGCACTCCTCGTTTTCACGTGTGCAACAAGCATTTGTCTGGGACCTAGGAACTGCTCTTTGGCCGGATGGGAAATGGCAATACATAGGACATATCTCCCCGCCTGAATCTCTGGAGGTTGACAGGACGCATGAGCGTCTCCGTCACGCGCAGGTAGGTGAGGGAGTGCAACTGGTCCTGGATAACCATTTAGCTGAGTCGATGCACGAAGATCAGGTGTCAAGGGAAGATGTAAGGACTTCACGTGTCGCTTGTTGCCGTGCTCAAGCCGCTCTTCAAAAAGTCATGCCCCAAAGAGGCTCAGCGACCTGCAAGGCAGAACTGCTTTTGATTGCATGCGGCCCTGTCCTTGTACGACAGCATCTGGTCGTAAGCGGCTTGGTCGTACCCTGGTGTCGCGCCGGGCTCTGTGTGCGCTCGCAAAGGCAGCTCCGACTTCACAAGCTCACACAAATCACCACTTGCGACTGGTTCTGTCAGGTCAACGATGTCACACATACTATGTGGAATCTGTCTAAATACCAAGACGGCTGGCGGCTTGGCGTTTTGGTTTGTTGCATCCAATCCGCTGTTCCTTCTACCCAGCGTGTTTCGGTTGCGAATTACCTTCGGCCGGGTTGTCCAGAATGACCTTCCAAATGGCACTAGGACCGCTGCGCTGCAGCGCGTTCTCGCCCGCGAAGCTCAGCCCCGCAGCTGCTGCAGCCTGCAGCGAAATTGCCCGAACGTGTCACGCAGCTCTTCAGGAATCACGCAGTTGCCTTGCTTTTGGGCCTTGAAAAAGGCTTTGGCCCGTGAAGTGCGCAAGCTCATGACCTCTGCATCACCCAAAACCCTAAAAGGTCAAAGCAGGGCTCAGGTCCAGACAGCTTGGCTCTGCTGAATCAAGTTCTCTGGGCTGGAAGCAGCCTCACTGGGCTGCTCCCGGTCACGCCTCGCTCAGTCACCACAAGCAACACCTGCTATCCATGGAAAGGAGCGTCTCGAACACCTAACAGCCTGAAGATGTTGCTCCGTACAGCAGACAAAGTTCTGCCCACTGCCCACTGATTCCTAGATCAAAACTGGTCAAACAAAATGTGAAAAGCTGGACCCATCCGTGTCAGGCAAAGCTGCCAAAAACAAAGGGCATTGGATTGGTTGAAGGTCAACAAGCTGATGCTCGTGCGAAAACGACCGGACTCAACAGTTTAGACTTGGCCCGCGTTTTCTCATCCAGAAAGAACCAGAACGAGCCCAAATGAGAACAGAGAAAAAATCACGGCATGGCGCCGCGATGAAAACAACTGCCATGTGCCGCACCCATGTCAGTAGATTGGTGCTTGGTTGCGTTCCGTGCATCGACTCAAAACAGAACGGCGGGTCACAAAGGCGGTTGATGCCGCCTGGTACATGCCTCAAATGCATGCTGTTGAGGCCATCATGTTCTCTCGGTCTCCACAGCCAAACATATGCGCACGCTGGGTTCGCTAGCATCTCCAAACACGTGAAGTCAAAGACATCCGCACCCGCAGCTTTCAAGACCTCCAGGGATGCAAAATTGGGCAAAGATCATTTGGATGACGGCGGAAGAGAGTACTGTAAGCATGAACTTGAAATGCAACACATGATTCGCAGGTCCGTGAAGAGTGCTCATCCTACGCAGGTCTTACTCATGGTGACATGAAATGAAAGTACTAACAAAACATCAGCAACCGGCGTGCCCAGGTGAGAAGTGGAACAAATCGGACCTTTTTGCTTACCCCGATCCAGTTTTCAATGTCAAAGACCCTGCAAAATGGTGCTCGAAATCCTCCGCGGTCTGCGTGCACGTACGCACACATCAAAAAGTCGGAGTTCAGAACACTATTCGCGACTCTCAAAAACATTAACTATTTACGTTCCTGCAAATGCGGAAAACATCCAATGAGAGTGATTGGCGGCTAAGGCTTTGCGAGGGCAGCATCAGCTTCACCAGGTTCACATTAGCCTTTGAAATTTGGTAGACTGGCTTGTGACCACAATACACCTTTATTTGGCTGCATGGCTGCTTCATGTTTCATGCGTTGGGTCAGGCGAACAAATGCGCAGAAGTGGTATCAGCTGCCTGCAAAGCTGCTTCGAGATGTCTTGCCCTGAACGCAGAGAACATGTTTGGGCATGTGGCTAATGAGGTCACGAGGGAAGATTTGATGCTGCAAAGAGTACACCTGGCTGTACTGCATGCTTGGTAAAGTGAGGCTGCAATCCCTTGCCCATCTTGCAGCTCGCACCTTGGCAATCTCAGCGTAAGCATTGTGACCGTTGGTGTTGTAGTAACCTGCAGGCATGCCAACATTGTCCGCAACAAATCGGCAGTTTGGTGCACCGCATGTCCCTTGGTGCTCAAAGAGCACACGAGGTCTGATGGCACTAGCAGGCGTTGTGCTGGCAACTAGGCTATGTTTACCCTTTCAAAAATAGGCCACGAGACGAGAGAGCGCGCGTGGGGACTGGATATTCAGTTGGGCTCCGCCCAACTGTTGCTGGAGACGAACACCGCAGAGTCACCCTCAAGCGATTCGGATACTGCTCTTGGCCTGGCGCACGCGGGAAGCCTGAGGCGTCGTGTTTGCCGCCGTCAGCAAGCACTGCAAATCTCAAGCATGACTCGTAAGATTGCAAATTGCGAATGTGTGGTGCCCTGGTTGGTCGCCTTCTCTTTGTCAGCACCAGCTTCTCGCCAACTGCCTGATGGCCCTGGCATGCAACAACACGCGCTAGCGCGACGCCATCTCCATCTTTGGTCGCCTTCTCTTTGTCAGAACCGCCTCCTAGATTTCTCGGCAAGCATTAAACAACTGCCTCATTCCCTGCGGCAATGCCGCACGACGGTGTGGCACCTTCTCTTTGTCAGCACCAAGAATTGAACAACTGCCTGATGGCCCTTCTCTGCAGCAATATGCAACAGCGCCCTCGACAAGCACTTCTTGTTCGCGCGCACTTTGAACAATGTATGCTAGCAACTTCAGAGCCGACGTTTCGTAGGGCTGTCCGTTGACTTGAGAACCTTGGCAGAGCCAAAGTTCTCAGATGTTCTCATCTTTGGGCTGCTGCGCCCTTTTTGCTTGCAGCGCTGAAGGCACTTCCCAGCACTGAGTCGTCACTGGTTCCCTCGAAACAACTACCTGATAGCATCGGTGTGCAGCAAAAATGCCTCACCGCTGTTCGCCTTCTCGTTATCAGCACCCATCTCGGGCAAGAGTTGCACAACCGCCAAATAGCCCTTTGCAGCAGCATTCTGCAAAGGTGTCATGTGTGTTGCCTCTTTCCATCGCTTGTAGCAAGTCAACGCGTCACTTGTGGCCGCCGCAATGTATTACCGTACAACAGCCGTTAGGCACTCAGCCTTCTTGTTCCACCAGCCAGCGCGAGCCATCTGCAAATGCAATGTGGCGTCGCAACGCATCGAACAGTCCCCATCTTCGTGTTCGCGCAGCTCGCTCCACCACACGGAATACTCCGCCGGCGTCATCACCTCCTTGCTATGGATCAAACGGACGCGCGCCATGAGTGAATTTGACACGCCCGCACGAAGCTGAATGCGCCGTGAACGAAACAATGCTGAAATCAACGTGTCTTCATTGCTGGTCAGGTGTCTGCGACACATGATGAGGCAATGGAGTTGTACCTCTGCGTGCGACCAACAATCATCGTACAAGGGGGTCGTGAGCTATGAACATGACATCGCCAATTGTACCTCCTAGCGGCAAGCACTGCAATAGAATTAATCGAGTGACGATAGTTGTTAATACAACGTTGCGTTCATCACGAGCTCAACCCTGCACACCAGTTGGCTGTTTCACCATAGCAAAATGCTATGTTAATCCTCTGCCGCTTGAACGCGGGCTGCAAAGCTCCAAGCCCGATCGACTTTAGATTCCACCACTATCCTTTTGTTCACATCTGCATTTGTGCACTACTATCATTCCAGTGGAACCAAATAACCTTATCCGTGCACGAGACATCTTCTCTGCGGTTCGCGCCTGCGGTGACCTCCGCCGCATGGCTCGGGTCGCTGTACCACCAGTGGAGCCCCGAGATCTTCGCCGCCAAACGGAGCTGGCGGCGCGCGCGCGGCGAGCCGGGCCAAGTACCCAAAAACCGCTTCGAGGCTTCGAGCACTCTGTGCCTTTTTTCTCATGCATCATATACATGACTCATATGACCCAAGCCCAAAGGTGCAAAGGCTTCAGAGTTGGGCCTTGCATGTGTGGTGTGTCGCGCAACGCTATCAGGAAAATGTGGAACATGTCACGAACAACTTCATGGGCTTTGGGACACAAACATTGCTTTTTGTGTTCGAGGAATCAGCAGATGCGTTTAAACGTGCCTTCATATGTTCAGCTATCTGATATGAAGACTTCAGCTTACATCCGGCCAAATCACAAGTGCACGGGAGCGCCTTGTTTTGGAAAGCAGCGCGTGCGCTGCGAAGGACATCACTGGCATGACGCTTCAGCGAGTCTGAGTACCACTCCAAGAAAAGTTGGCCTTGGCAAAGCCGAGCAAGCATCGCGCATCGCGCCGAGCTGCCAAACGACCTACACACACCGGGGCTGTCCGGAGGTGTCCAACGCCTCTACGTCCTAGCCGTCCTTCCATTTCTCCGACTTATGGCTCGGGCCAAGATGAACGCCAGTTGGAGCCCTGAAGTGGTTGATGTTTTCAGATAGAGGGAAGAGCTGCCTCCCACCCCTCTCCATGGATTCCTGTTTTGTTTCGTTTCGCCATGCAGAGCGTGGGTGAGTTTCTCTCTAGTTCGGTTCACTTTCCGGCATCAAAACAGGGCACCCATTTTGGAAGGTCCCGTTCAGACAAGGAAACCAATCGCTTTGAATTACTTGAACCTTGACGTCCCATGCGGTCCAGCTGCCATCTGGCGAAGCGTAGCCCTGCCTGCCGGGGGATTTGAGCTGTTGAGCCGACTGCCTCTACCGTCCAAGTGTTTAAGCGGACATGCAGGCATTGGAGCAATGACCAAACAGTACAAAACAATCACCTGGCAACTGCAATGAGGTGACTTCTTTGTGAGGACCAAAGAATGTAGAGGTTAACAGGGCTTCAAAGCTGGGCGTCAATAGTTTACTTTGGTCTTGCCGTACCAGGGCAGTGGCCATGCAGGTCATGCTGGCGGAATGCAGCGCGGTTTGTTCAAGAAGGGTTATAAGTAAAGTTGACCTCATCCACAATGCAGCAACATGGAAGGATTGAAAAACTCGATTTCACACCACATTGCATTCCAATCATTGAAGATCGCCGCGTCTTTCCCGCGAACACAACATCATAATTACTGATGACTCTGGCAGCGCTAAAAGGTGAAACGCTCTATTGGGGGAACTGCAGCCATGGCGCGAGAAGAAACTCGCGTCCTGCAAACAGTCTAGCTCATCGCGGCAACTGCGGGAGGGTCAGCAGCGTGATACGGGTTCTGGGAGCTCTGCAAAAATGGGTGCAGTTTTTGGTAGATTGTATAGGGCCACCCCCTTAAAGAAAAAGGAAACAGGCCGCACTGGCATTTCAAAAGAAGCCACTTCTCAGCAAGGACACGATCCCTTTACAATCATGCCTAAACGCAAAGCGTGCCCGCATGTGTCTGGCTGCCCTTGCAGCCACAAAAAGTCTTCTGGCTGCCTTGCAGCTGCACTCTTGAAGTTCCAAAGACAGGAAGTGACATGCGGCCATATCCTCCAATGACAATCAAAGGCTGGCTCGAGGAAAACACAACGTCGTCCTGTGGACGGCTGTTGTAGGTCCCCGTTTCACGCGGCAAGCGATGCTCTCCGCCTGCCAGCCTGGAGCCGAGTGAAAGTGGCTGGACTCTTTTTCAGCGTATGACTCAGCACTTCAGTCATGTAACTCCTCAGGGCGTGAACTTGTGCCTGCCTCAGACTCTGCAAAGCGTGCTCGTCGTAGCACTGAAACTGGCCTTGCGGTTTGCCAAAGCAGCGAATGACATCATACAAGCGGTCGCGTTAAGTCACATCAACGCGCATGGCCACGCGCATGCGCGCGAAGTCACATCAGCGCTCGTGAAGTCGCATCATGCATCATTATTTTCATGGCAATCACACTGGCCACGCGCTTCCACAGTGTATGCTCTCCCCAGCGGCCACGCCAGCTTTCTGGTCATCAAGTTTTGAGTCCGAACGAGTGCAAATCACATTGCCCACGCACCTCCGCAGTCTGGCCACGCGAGATTCTTGTCATCAAGTTTTGAGTTAGGACACAAGCTACGGGACTTGCAAGTGTACCGATAGCAAATGCTAGCCGCGGTACCAACAAATCCTCACCGAAAAGCAAGCTTGCTCTAGCCAAGTTGTAGCTGTGCGTTGGCACATGCAGCAAATCAGCTGCACGCAACCAAAACTTGTGCATGCGCATATGCGTATTTGTGTTTATGTGGCTCCAAAACCTGCATGTGTGTGTGTGTGCATGAGTACCACACAGCTTCGCACGGTTTGCTTGGATCCCACCCCTCACTGAGCTGCGCGGCCAATGCCCGGGAAATTCCAACGGTCCAGCGGATAGGAGGGGTACCTGCAAGACATCACGTAGACGCTCAATTGCCACCAGTCAGAACTCATGTGGTAAGTCTCCAAAGCCAGTGGAAGTATACATGATGGGTACACACGCTTCAACCAACCTCCGACCTGCAATCCTGTTCAAGCAAGACGTGACCACCATTTGTTTCCTGTGAATTTCACAAGTGGACCACAAAAGCAAACAGGACCTGGCTGACTGCCTCAATTACCCTCAATGGCATGACCCTCAACATCCGCAGCCTCATCTCTCCGCAGGGTCCCAAGCCAACCTAAGGTGTACCGTCGCCCTCCACGCGACAGAAACAAACGCGTGACAAAACATCGCTAGCTGCCTCAAAAAACATGTGAGGCTTCCACGACCAACTGCGCCATAGAAACAAAAATCAAAACACAAATATGTTCTTGATGAGCTGCGTCACAAATGGCATCACTCATCCCTGTGTTCACTGCCAACTTGCTTCACCCCAAGACAGTGGTCCAAATTGCCACCTGACCTTAAATGGAAGTCGGAAGTATTCAACTCAGCTGAGCCGCCATCACCTCTACGATGGGATCCCCAAGTTCAGCGGCAAATTCAGCAGCGAAAGCGGCAAACCAGTCGCCGTACATCTGCAACGGCGTGCGCCCAGCAATCTCCACGGTGTCAGCAAAGAGAGAGATGTACTCCTTCGGGTTTGGACCAGATGCCTGCCTTAGAACTACAGCTGTTTGCGTACGATCTTGCCGGAGCAAGGAGCAGATTTCAAAAGGGATATGTGCTCGTTTTGACTTGGGGTTGCTTCTGCCGGAGAACACAAAATGAACGCAGCATTGTCTGGGCTAGTTGATGGTTTGTACAGGTTTGAGGGCTGGTATTGGATAGGCTTGAGATTGGCCAGGATGGATTTTGGGAGTGCTTTGGGATGCCTTTGGGGTGGGTTTGGGTTGGTTTAGGGTGGGCATAGCGCTCGCTGGCTTAGGGTGGCTTAGGGGGTGGGTTTGGTTGACTTACAAATTGGTTTACGGCTGGTTGAGAATGGGTTTTGGGCAGGTTTAGGCTTCAGGTGGGTTTAGACATGGGCTTGGGGATGGTGTAGGTTGGGATGTGGGATTTGCGTCCTTTCGAGTTGCATTGGAGTGGGCTTTCGGGTGGGTTTTCGGGTGGGTTTTCGGGTGTGGGTATAAGTTTGTTTGGTTTAGGATGCGTTTCCGGGGTTGCTTTTAGCTGAGGCCACGCAAGCCAAGAAAGGCCGCGAAAGCCGCAAAAAGCCGCAAAAGCCCAAGCCACAACATTCCCTAGGCCATAAAATCGAAAGCCAAAAGAACGGCAAAGGAAACAACATCTTCACAAATGACCCTGCATTGAGCCCAACTCATCACAACCGCGCATGCTGATCTCTGCATTGCCACCACGCTTTCGCATGCTCCTCAAATCGGGTCCACAAATTTGTAGCTCAAGGACAGGCGACAATACGAATAGCTTGTCACCGCTGCCCAACCTGAATGCGTGCTGGCTCCAATGCTTTGCAAGCAGAAGCTACCGGCCAGGGCGTTGACTGACCACTTGCACTTGGTCAGTATCCGAAAGTTACGACCGGCAGGGGTGAAGCTTGTCGATACCCCTGAAGGCAACAGCTGTCCTGTGTCTCTTGCCCCTCCGCATCCTTGTACCAAATGCCTGATGTGTTTCGGACAAAGTCCTTGGCTGAGTTGAGTAGCAAGTCTGCCGAATCGCCTTGAACTGCCGCAAAAGATACATGGTGTTACACAACTGCTTTTCTAAACCTTTGTGCTTCAAAACCTGTCGAGGTTTGCGTGCCCATGATGAGCAATAGCACCCTGGCAAATCTTCGAGGATTGACTCTATTTTGTCGAGTTAGTCAGTTGGGTTAGGTGAGTGTGCTAGCATCAGGCATTTCCCAGGGGTGCACATGGCTCATAGTGAGCTAGAACCTTAATAGTGCTGAGCCGGCGATTTCGCAGACTCCCCTCTCAAAGACCATGGACGCTCAAGTGTGTGCCAAGGAAATCGCAAACTCCGACGTCGAAGTGGCGACAAAAAGCTGCCAAAGGCGGTCATCACTGCTGCAAAGCCGCTGGTAGGAGGATGTAGCACTCGTCACCTGTTCCAACCAGCATTGGCTCCCGCCAAGCCCTGTGGGTTCTTCAAAACTTGTAACTTCCGCAGAAATTGCCTTTTTCGTGGCTGTGTGCTAGCTTCCCTTCCGCCTGCGCATTTATGATTCTGGTTTGCTGTGGCCGAACTGGCTCTCCGAGGCATTTAAGAGACGTGCACGTCTGCCGTTCGAGCAGCCCGAGTGCAGTGTGTCTTTACCAATCATCCATGCACTTCAATCAATCCCATCATTGGATTCGACCTCTTCCAAAAAGCACGTCATGCCATGCAAGTTCCCAAGTTCCCGGCCTACGTTGCCCCCGCACTGGTGGAAGGAACTCACCACCTGCACCTTGAAGCCCCGGAGCTTGGCCTGAAGGGACCATTGGGCAGGCGGGACGAGCTGACTGCTGTACTGGTCTTAAATAAATGAAATGGGTACCCGGAGGTACAGATTTATTGGGTAATGTGAACCTGCTTTCTTTCCAAAAGCCCGCAAATAAGTCTGTGTCCAAGTGGGGAGCACAGCAAAGGCCCAGATAAGCTCAGGTGATATCCCCAACAGCATGCAGCGCTCTTTTTCGACCCTCGCGGAACCCTGTGAAGCCTCACCTCCGAACCCTCGCGGAACCCTGCTGAACCTTACCGCAGAGCCGGAACCCTGCAGAACCCTGCACGGGACCCTGGAACCAGCCTGGACCACCCGGAGCCGATCGGGGCTGAGACTTCAGCTGTTGGGGCAAAAAGGCCTCAAGATAGCATCGCTTTTGGCAGTTCGCTGTGTCGCTTTCCATAATTGTTGACACATGCTTGCCCATGTGCCACATCTTCGTGGGGGCTTCGCCCAAGGCTCAAAATCCTTGAGCCTCTCCGGAACCTTTCTTGAACCTTTCACTGGCCTGCACCAGACCACCCTGGAACCTCTGGAGCCTTCAACTTTACACCCGCCTGTGCCAGACCACCCGGAACCTCCTTACACGACACCTGGCCTTCACCTGACCATCCCGGAACCTCCTTCCTTGAACCTTACACCTTGCACCAGACCACCCCACCTCCGGAATTGAACCTCACCAGACCACCCCGGAACCTCTGGAACCTTGCTCGAACCTGACTCTAGAGCTCCCCCAAACCACCCCCAAACCTTATCTGGTCTGAGACCCCTTAGCTTTTAGCTGTTGGAGAATAATCAACAATAAGAATTGAAAAAGGGCCTTTTCGCTCCCATGACGTTCCACTCAGCACAGAAACTCTGCCTTTGATCCTTTGCGTTTCTCGTTTCTTTCCTCAGTTCCCCACAAGCGAGCCATAGCTGGATGTAGCGGGTTTGCCCAATTCCCACTCGAGTTTGAAATCCCTCCAGTCCGCAAGTGTTCTACGCCTTCGCTTTTTGCCCGAGCCATTGAGACAAACGTAAGACAAGTGCAAGAGCACAAACAAATGCAGTGCAAAGAAGACATGGAATCAGATACAGGCTTCCAGGGAGGTGCGCTCTTTTCCCAACGAATTTGTCCCCAATGCCAGTTCGTTATTGACAGATAATGTTTCCGGGCTTTGGTCATGGTGTTTGCAAGTGGACAGTGAGACGGCCCTGCGCGCACGGTGCGCAGCTGGGTCTGCTTTGTAGAGATGTTATCTGTTCTTGGCCTTTCATCATAAAGGCAACCAAAAAAGGCAAGCGCATGGACGGCAGACGGCGGTCGCGCAAACTGACGGCCGTGTGGTTTCGATTTTCCTGCGTCCAAGTTGGTCCTGGCATGCCATGGCAAGTTTGGCACCTGGATCCCATGCCAAGACTCATCACAACAGCCACGGCTTCCACTTCTTTCCATGTTTGCCAAGCTCATGTTTTTGCCAGCCATCTCCTATTTTGATGACGCTGTGCCCAGAATGCTTGGCACTTCGACAGGTCTGGCTCTTTTCAATCTCCTCGGTAGTCTCGCCTAGCCTCGACAGAGCAATTGCCACCAGCTTGTGCGCTGGGCTGCATTTTCGCAACCTGCGCTCTTTGCTTCCACTATCTTACACTTCTCACTTAGTTTGAAAAATACGGCTGCAACATCTTGAGCGACAAAAATAGTCACAGAGCAAAAAGAAACGGCACATCGCCCAAGGTCCAAAATTTGCCTTGCATTACTTTTCCAGCCTGCCAGCGTGGGACCCACGGGCTTCGAAACCGATCTCTTCCCTTGCTCTCCGCCTTATATTGAACGTTGAACAGGTTGCCTACGAAAAATGACCCTCGTCAAAATGCGCCGCATGTAATTTCTAGGCCCTCGCCCAAGCATTTGCAACTCACCCCACAT